TGTTTTTGGAATACACAGTAGCGGTAACCTGTTATGTCGCCCAACCAGCACAGATTCTTTTGGAATGAGGGGTCAGCGGTGCAGGGGTGATAGTTGGAGAGAATGGCGGTGCCCAATGTCAGAAATTTTACGAGTTTAATTAGGGTGCACTCATATTTCGTTCCAGCAATGCCAGATGGCATGTGCAGTGTGAATTTCTTCACAAATGCTTTTATTATACGTACAAAGGAAAGGCGGGCGGCACTTTTCATTCTTCTGGTTCATCTTGTGTCTTCTACAGCTACGTTTCGTTGAGTTCGGCCGTAATAGTATTTCCATTCTTCCTGTTATTGTCCACGAAGGGGGTGGAAGTGGTGAGGATGAGGAAGACGACGAATGCGAGCCCGAAGCTGTGCCGAGTTTTGCCGAAACACATGCTGCATTGGCAAAAGTGAAGTCGTTCTTTTATGCGCATAATATTAGTGAACGTGACAAGGAAAACATTTTGAATGTGGAAATGGCTCTGTTTGGCCTAAAATGTAAAGTTTTGACAAACCATTTGTCCATTAAAGACTTTTTTGGTAAAAAGAAATAACTTTGAAAGAGAAACATTGTTTTTTTTAAAAAATTTAATGCTTTTCCACAACTATCGTTTTCCCGTATTCATCGTTTTTATTTCCCACCCCCGCCGAAAACGATGCATCGAGGTTTCACTGTATCTCTTTCTGATCCAAATCCAAGCTTATTCTGAGACTACTCCAGCTTGCTACAGTATAGAGGCTCTTTCTCCCGAGTAAAGCAGCCAGCTTACCAATCAGTTCCATTTGTTACCATGTAATGCATAGAGCTTTGTCTCCATTTCCATTAAAACAGGGTCAGTCCATTTTTATTAAATTGCTAGGTTCATAAGTTATTTAATTATAGCTGAACTGGAGGCAGCAACATCCACTACACATTCTGAGGCTCCGCCCAAGACACCAGCAGATCCGTCTGAATGGTCAATTGAAGATGTTATACAGCATATTGCTTTCATTGACCCTGCCCTAGGAGTCCATGCAGATCTCTTCAGAAAACATGTGAGTTCAATATATCTTGTTTTGTTTCCTAAGACATTTTCGCTTTATGAGTGTCATCTGACAACCATACTTCTCCCATCTATTTCTGTGTTCCTCGATCTCCTCAGATTTTTCCAAGGTCTTTGTTCTTTCTGTGTGAAATCTTTACAAATCTGTTGTTCCTAGTGTGATCTCAGTGTTTCTGTTTGGCATTTTCCTTTGTACATTTATGTCCAAAACCTTGGCATTCTCTCTGTTTAACCTCAGATTGTTTCAATTTTTTTTTATTTCTCTAGGTTTCTCTTTCTGTACTTCTTAAAAATTTTGTCTCTGTTGTCATTAGTCCACTTATATTTGCCTTATTCTGTGTACACGTTTTTGCTGCCTGTTAATAGGGGCATGTACCTTTTAAGTAGGGGTATTTTTACATTTATGCATTTCCTATTTCCAGAGTGTTTCCCTTGGTAATTATTATATTCTGAATTCCATGTACATATATCTTACATTTTATTGCAGATATATATATATATATATATATATTCAGGAACTATTTACATTTTTCACTTTTAAATAAGGGTTTTTTCCTAATATGACACTAATATAAGATGCTACAGGATTTTTTTCCATGGATTTCTCAGAACTTTAAGCTTGCAAGTTTCATTTTCAGTTCCTTCATTGAAACAGTGTCCATGCTGTCACTTTTAATGTGTGTATTTTTTTTTCTTCCTCATTTTTTAAGGGAGGGGGGTTGGGGGAAGGACAAAAGTACTTGTTAGTTGTTTAAAGTGTCTTTACCTGAATTCTCTTTGAAAACCTCTTCCCAAAGATGTCCTTTTCATTTAAGCAAATTGAGGGTTTTTGAAAGAAGATTTTGATCTGAGAGAAAGTAACAAGGACTGGAGAAAATTTCATAATAAGGAATTTCATAACTGGTACTCTTCATCAGATGTTATGCTTGGCATATGGATGTATGAAAGAAAAGTTAAGATGTCAATAAGAGTGAATAGTGATGTTAGTTTCTCTACAAATAAGTCATTCACCCCACTTTTTGTCAGTTTTCCTTATTTGTGAGAACCTCAAGTCTTAAATAGTTTATTTGAGAAAATTCAGTATAATCTTAAGCTGTAGCAGTATCAATAAATAATGTAAGAATCATCATTAAACTCCAGAAGTCTAATCCCTGGAGCGTAGAAGTAATAGTTGTCTTTGACAGAAGTGACAGTTATATTTTGATTGTTCCTGCAGGAGATTGATGGTAAAGCATTGCTGCTACTTAACTCAGACATGATGATGAAATACATGGGCCTAAAACTGGGCCCTGCTCTCAAGATCTGTAATTTGGTCAACAGAATTAAAGGACGAAGACATCTGCTCTTATGACAGTGAACTATGTCGTCACCTAGAATGGTGTAAATGCAACAATTTGTGATACATAAGGCAAGTAAAATAATACTGTTATAGTAAGTAATTTGTGAATATTATGAATTGAAATTAAAATGTAAACTGTAATAAACAAACTTTATTGAATTGGAGGTAACAATGAGCTTCATTGCTTGGGAGCAAGTTTGTATGCTGTGGGCCGGAGTTCAATTATTTGCGTTGAGAAGAATGAAAGAAAAGATTGTTTTGGTAAAAATGTGTAAAATGGAAAGTCCGTTTTTTGTGTTAATGTGTGGAACATTTATTTTGCCTTAGTACCAAATAATTGATACATTTAAATGGATTCTGTGCCATTTTGGTCCTGTTTTATAAGTGTTTTAAAGTTGTGTGAACTTGTTTCATTAAATTTTCCTTCTACATATTATTATTTTGTTCCATAGTAAAATTTTACAAACAAAACAGACTCCTCAGATTTTCTATAATTTGAACACACATTGATGGGGATTAGTGTTATACGGTAGTGTTCAGTAATTTTGTTATATAATATTGCAGTGGAAAGTATTTTGATACTGCTGCTTATGATTTGTTATTTAGATTATTGTACCACCATCATTGTTTATGTGGACTTTGTGCAACATTCATTGGTTATGTTGTATGTACATTAAATTAGGTTCTTTAAAATGCAGAATGTTAAGAATTTTACTGCTGATAAGCCACAGATGAAACTTATGTTTCATCAAAGGTTTTACTGTTTTAATTCTATAATGTGCATAGCAAAAATGTTCTGGAAATAATTAAAAACCAAAACACATATAAATGTTGTTCCTTAGACTGATGTTATTAATTTTCAAGGACAAGATTTAGATTTTGTTGTTGTTATGATTTTATAATTCACATCTCAGTATGTTTTAGTGTGTTGGGAAAGAGCACCACTGTGGGTCTGCCATTAATCAAATTTATGAAGGTATTTGTCAGCTTTTTGTTCAGATGTTTGCAGTAATACCTTCTAAACCTTCGCATTAAGACATAACCAATAAATCTGTTAGTTTATGTTGTAATATTTGTTCTGTCCTCTAATTTCCCTGGTGTGCCAGTGCAATTTGATATGTATTAAAATGTACAAAGTGCGTGTATAAATGTGTATCGTGGGAAATCCTGTTACACTATGTTTCTAAGAGAAGAACCAGATTATGTGTGGAAAGTCTACTGTGAAAGTTTATATTTGCTGATGAATTAACTGTATATGAAGCTAATTCATTCATTGCTCTTACTAGCTAAAGCACATAGTAAAAGAGCTGAAAGCTCTTTTGTGAAATTTCACGTGAACATTTGTAGCATGAATATCTTTCAAGATAAAACTACATCTTGCTCAGTGAATATACTGTATTCTTTGTTGCTACTGTTTTAGAGTTACCTATGAAGTCAGTCAACAGGTAATGTATAATGTATAAGATTTATTTAGTTTGAGTGTTCACAAAGGTAGAATATCCATATGTACTGGAATGGCTTTAATAATTGTAATTTATCACAGAATTAATGCAGTTTTATGTTTTAGCCCAAGGTTTCTCAAAATGTTTGGTTAGTAATAACCCTGGTTCATTGTGCAGAGTGTTATCATACAGTAAAGATATGCCTTTATTGCTGTATTAAGAAATAGTGTAAATACAGTAATTGGTATGAATTTGTTGGTACAGCCATGAATATTACCCAGTTCGAATCCCAAATGGACCTGATATTGTGCCTGAGGATTATCATGCTTTACCACAGGCCCTACAGACAACCTTTAAATAGGGCCCAACTGCCCCTTCCCATATCCTCTGCCATTCATAATTATCAATGTGCAGTGGAATTTAATTTATGTACGTGCAGTGCATAACTGAGAGCAGGTATTTGTTTGACTGAAGCCTTCATCATAAGTCAGTTCTTCAGAACTGATCTGATGCACACTATGCTTACCTGAAATTAATCATGTTTTAAGAGTATTGTATTTCTATTATCTGTTCTTTGTTAGTAAAATTGACATTATTAATTTTTCTGACAAATTTTTAAACAGTGTCCATACATTTGTTTTCTGGCCTACATCAAGTGTTCATGAGCAGAAACCACATTCTTTTAAACCAATTTTGAATTGTAAATTCTGTGTTATGAGAGTCCAATTCTAGATTTCTCACAAGGGACACATGCAAAATTTAGAGGTTTTGCTTTCTAAGTTACCAGACGTACTAAATGTGGTGTGTTTATTGAATGTTTTTTCTTTCTGGCCTGTGTCCATTTAGGAAAGGGTATAGAATCGGCTACTTTGTTGGGAGAACACACAGGGCAAATTCTGTTCTCTCGATATTGTGATCATAAGAATGAAGAAATGTAGATGCATGCACGTGCTAATTAAAGATCTGTATATAAAGAAACTACTCAGTTTATGTTTATAAATGCTTCTGATTTTATATAAATTGTGTTTTATTGCCAGACACTTTGAGAAACTTTGTTTTAGCCTTCTTTTCAGGTTTTCTGAAACGTTCTGTTGTAAGTTCCATAGAAAATATTAAGAGTGTATGAATACAATTTATTTTTCACATAAGTTTCATATGATAGTTTGTTTTGTGTGTATGTGATTCTTTATCTTTGGTGGCTTATTCGTAAACAAACTCCATTGTCAGTAGTTGGTATAGTAGGGAAGCTATTTGATTTATTTAATTTTGTAATTGTACCATTTTACTGACTGACTGCAAAGCATATACAATTTTACAAATTCTGTCTCTCAGTAGATATGGTTTTATAAAGTGTTCAGTAAACAACACCCCTAGGATACTGCATATCAGCTTATCTTTGAAATCACAGTCTGGACATTAAGATGATATGTTTTAAAGTCTGAAGGCCTGAATAATGTATTTTTGACATGAAAATTGTGTGCTGTCCTAAATAAGTACCTGGTATCATGGTAGAATCTAAGCGAATTTCAGCACTTTCATTGACCAAAATAAACTTATTTTGTGTTAATTTAATTTATCTTTCATGTTTCTGCAACGTCTTTGGTTTCATACACTAGTATTTATTTCAGTGTGAAGTCTGTCATCTGTGGGAAGTCATTTGAAAACATACTTTTAAATTATTATAACAGTGATTACCAATCTGATAAGTGAATTATGAGAATTGCTAATGGCAAATGTTACTTTGATATAGATTATATATGAAATGCTGAGTGAGAAATGTTGTTAGATTAAAACTGTGGTGCAGTAATAATTTCCTGAACTGTGCTAAAATATTTTGTTCACAAATTGCTATTGACCCAGAGTAATGTATTGCACTTTGATCATGAAAGTTGACAATAAACACAAAGAATGTGATTGTTTTTATGTATACTATTTACCATGGCATGTGTTTTCTTGTCACTACATAAGAGCCCATTTTAAAGCCACAGTATGTTCACTGGCCAAATTTTATGCCTTTCAATTTTTCTTTGTTTCTCTGACATTACCATATATTTGTCTCAGGAATACAGTATTTTCTTGATGCCTTGCAATTATTAGTCCTAAGATGGCTATTTTCTGGGTTGTGCCATGTTGTAATCATCTCCCTGTGATGGAGGCATCAAGGACCTCTGAAATGTTGGTAAACTTCTGCCATACTACATAACACAACAAGCCAGAAGACAGCCATCTTAGGACTCACCACTGCAGAACCTCAAATCCTGCTAATTATTAGCCCTTTTAGCATGCCTTAAACTATTAATTTATAATTGGTACCATATGTGGTTAGTGAGAATAAAAGTATCTTTTGATGATTTCATCATGTGATTTACAGTGTTAATGTTCCATATAATAGGTACAGTTATTGTAAACACAAACTACTAATACCACATATTATACATTGTCAGTTCTCAGCAAACCACATACTATGTTATATCTGTCAGTTGTGGCACATCTCAAAACATGTGCATTGATATGAAACTATTGTCTAACAATATTAAGACATCAGCATCATTCACTTTGGATCATCAGTAACAAAGATATTGGACTTGTATTCATATCTGATGGGTGTTATATTATAACAAAACGTACCTCAAAGCAAAGTCATGGCCCCATGGAACATATGTGTGGTGATGATGGCAACAATTTTAATCCTATTCCATTGTCACAAAGCTTCGGATTTAATAATCTGACTATTTCTTCCAAACTGCTCTCTTCAAAGTATATATAGAAATCATGTTCTTTGTTGTTAAGTTGAAGGTTTCACAGGAAGAACTGATGGCAGCTGTTTGGTTATTCGTGTATGTGATTTCATAAATAACTTAGGAAACATTTGGTCTGCAAAGGGATTGCTGCCGCAGACTGGCAAGGCTGCCCAGAGTATAGTCAAGTTTCTTTATATATTTTAATGAAGCCATGCAGCTGTTTGCTACAGTTTGTATACTTTGAAGTACAGTAGAGTCCCAATTATCAAACATTCCATTTTATTCAGTGTACCTATTACTAATTTTAAAAAAAAACTCATTTCCATTTTACATTATGTTTAATATTACTTTTGTTTGTGAGATACAGTGGAACCTCGATGTAACGCAGGTTTTGGGGGACAGCTTCAGTACCCATCTTATATGTGAAATTGACATTTATATAATTTTGGAATCCCTGATGTTATGTATAATTATCCAGTGACTAAAATATATGAAATTTAAGGGGCATTTCAAACTTATGTTTTTACCAATGCTACTGGTAAAATTAGCATCAGAACAATGTAACTCTTCCTGTCTCAACCAAAAATGGTGCTCACTAAAGTTTGCTGTTTCAGCAAAATAACCCCAAGGTTAGAAAAACCAGAAACATACCTATTCATTGCGGACTATGGACTTCACCCTCTGTACCTGCACACTACAGCAATAAATGTTGCAATACAATCTTATATTGTAACCAGAACATTTCATAGAAATTTGTACGATGTAAAATATGTAATCATATTGTGGGACATGATCACAGCTGCAGTATAAGGCACGGTATATCAAGTTTCCACTGTATTTCATTTTATACTGTATTGAATTTTCTCCGTAATTTAGTAATATCATAAATTGAGTTGATATTTACTCTCATATTTTTCATTAGTCTTCCCTATTATCCAACATTTTCGGTTATCCAACCATCCTTTAGTTCTGTTTAGGTCAGATAATCGGTACTCTACTGTATATTTGTCTTTGGGTATGGAGTTTGGCTATGAATTGTACACCTAATGTTTTAGAACATTGTTGGTTGAGGAAAGGGGTAAAGGAGGGATGATATGTTAACAGTGAGGAAATCTACAAAGTAAATTCTTTCATGGCATTGGAACTAGATGTTTTATCATAAAAATAATGTTAAATTTATACCAAAAACATGCCAGATGAAAGCAATAAATGAAGAACTTGTAACATGTAACTCCTTTCAGCTTATGAATGGTGTCGAGATAATTACATTGATATGAATGTTCTCTGATTTTTCAGTATCATTTTTACAGTCTAAAAGTACTTACCCCTCTCCTGTCTTTGAAATTTAGCCACATTTTATTTTTAACAGTCTAACTTTATAATAGTGTGAAAGATATAAATGTATGTAGGTACCTAAGTACTGTATATACGTGTATGTATAGTTTATAGTCACAAAATGCTATTAGCATATTTTCTTGGAAATTATTTTCTTGTAGTGATCTCTTTTCATAATATGCAAGTATCCACTCCAACATTTATTCCATGAACTCTGAGTTATTATAATGTGAACAGATATGATGTGTAGTTGCAAAATGTAATGAAATAGTTATGAGAAGGCAGAACAGACTATAATGATGCAGTTTCTCTTGGTCCTTATTTTTCAATTAGAAGAAAAATTTTAAATTTTCTTCACTATTAATCCTTGTATCATAAATACATTATGTGCCTGTCATTGATTGCTATGATTTCCTCTCTGAATACCATATTTTAGGTTAGAGAACTATCTCTTTACCCATCTCTGTTGTTTAGGTTATATGTGCTCACTCTGTTGCACACCTTTGATGATAGAATCTGGAGACAACATAAAATCATATTCATATTTTTGCTTGCTCTGAGATGAATGTTTACTCACTATCTTCTGTGATGAGCATGGTGACATGGAAAAGATTGGGTAAAGAAGGAAGAAAAAGGTAAAAGTTTATCTTTTGAAAGATGTTACAGTTAGAAAACATTACACAATCTTCTGCTAGCCTACAATAATACTGAAGCTATCATATATGAGTAAATGAAGAATGTGAAAAATATGAACTTGTTTTTGCTTATTATAGCATTTCTGGGAAAATAGCACAGAATGAAGGAATTTAAGTATATAAATTTTAAAACAGCCAGTACATGATGCATTATTGTTGTATTTAAAGATAAAATTGGTAAATTATCAGTTGTCATTATTTGATCCTCTTACTTAGTAAATAGGGACAAAGTTAATTGCCCTTTTCACCATAATAAGATAGTTTCTTCCAACTTTACAGTGCTGTGCAAAACTACTTGTTCTTTCCTCTCAAATATAATTTTGTGTATGTTATTATAGGAACCTGAAACCTGTTACTGCCAGTTTTTGCTAATAAATCTGGAAGCCAAACTAATAATTCCTAGTAAGAACTAGAAAAGACTGCTGTAGTTGGTGAAAGCCAGAATGAACATTGGAAGACCTAGTATTTACTGCTCTTCAGTTAAAGCTTGTTCATACAGCTTCTTCATTATTTACACGTAATTCTCACTGGGGTTTATGATTATGGAGAAATATTCCAGTACAGATTTTATTTAGCCTATTGCTACAAGATAGCTTACAAACTTGTTGTGATAGACTCTTTAATCTCTCATCACTTTTTGCTTCTTAAAATGAAAGGAAATACAAATTTTATATGTAAAGGAAAAAACACAAAATATCCAAAAAAGACAAATGAAAGTATGACAGACTCATTAACTTCAAGTTATTATGTTTTGTTTTTCTCAAAATGTATTATAATGCAAAGGAAATGTCTACTGCAGAAAATATTTCAAGTTCATTCCTGTTTACTTGTTTTTGCATGAGCTGCTATTGTGACAGTTTGAATTGCTGTTTTTATATATATATATATATATATATACACACACACACACACACACACACACATATATACATACACACACACGCACGCCCACCCACCTCTCCACAAGCATAAAACCAAGCCAGTTTTTTATATTGACATGTAACATACCTTTGCCTGAACTCAAAGTGGACAGTATTGTAGCATGTCTTTAAAGATATTTCCTTCTCTTTAGCCACATCAGTTATTGCAACAATAAAACTCTGTTTGCAATTATTAAATTGAGATGAGTACAAATTCATTAGGATGCCTTTATATCCTAATGTGTAAGTCCCGTCTTCATGTGGTTTCCCTCATTTGTTAATCTGGAACTTACTTTCAGTCAAGGCTACAGTAAAGTCTAGTTCTTACTATGAAATTCCAGTTCTGTCTACTTCATTTAGGAGGTTATAGATTTTACTAGTAAGTAGCAGTAATAGATTTTACTAGTAAATAGCAGTAATAGATTTTGAGTTTTTAATGTAACACACACAAACATATAAATGTAAACAAGCAAGTGCAAACAGCTGTAAAGTGGTAGACTCTTATTGATTTTATATGATGAATATATTAGACATTGCTTCAGATAAAATAATCTCAATATGAAGTAATTTTGGAGTTATGTTACTGCATCTATTTGCAAATGTTTACCACAAAACTTTGTACAGCATACAGAGAGTATTTTTGTAATTTTTGTAACTGAAGCAGATACTGGAACATATTAAATCCTGATGCGAGTTTTGAAATGATTGTATAAAATGTGCCTGTATGACTTTACCAGATTGCTGTAACATAGCATAAAACACTTGTAGATGATCTGCAAAATTAAGGGAAGCTACTGTTGGTACAGGGTCACTGATCAAAACCACAGAAAATGAAGTAATTATTCTGTGCAATGGTAATCTGCCTTTTACTGCTGTGACCTAAAACTGGTCACCAATAAGATCTCAGGCTCAAACCTGTTGACAGTTTCCAGCATTAAAAAATAAAACAGCTCTTCTCATAAGGTTTTGATAATTCTTTGACCATAATTTTGATTTTGAACCAATGGTTTAGAGATTGCATTTATTAAATGTTAATAATAATTTTCAATAGCTGTAGGCATTATAATACTTGAGTTCCTTATGGAGTGAAAGCTCTCATACTGTAACAGTGCAGATATATGATTATATAACTTCAATGTATATAAAAGTTTACACTGCTAATACAATTAATAAATATAGAACAATAATTTGTTAATGGAGCAACACAGTGTTTTGAAAGAAGTAGTATGCATACTGCCAGTGGTCTGCAGCATATTGTATGCCAGTCTGCAAATTGGAGTTGGTATTTTATATGTAGGCCTATATATTTTTACCACAGCTGTAAATAGTAGTTTTATAACAAGCAACTTCTTTGTTTTATTTTAGTGTCCGCATAGTTTGTGTTGAACATTTGCCACTTTTTTACATTGAAGTTTTGCTAGGTAAGTGAATTGCAGGAAAGTTTCCTTCCAATATCCACCCAACCCAATGACATGGGGAATTTTACTTTATTCCCCCTTTTGAATAATTTTCAGTTAAGGTGTTAAGCGTGGGTGATTATGACGTCTCTTAAATCTGAATATTACATAAAGAACATCTGTGATGTAAATAAACATTATTAGATGTGTAGGATTTGAGGTTTTCATGGTGATGAGCCTGAAGTTGTCTTCTGGATTTTTGTGCTTGTAGTCTGTTAGAAGTTTGGTAAACCCAGAAGATAGCCATCTTCATAATCAGACATGTTAATAATGAGATTTTTGGTTCTTGTAGAGGTGAAAATTCCATTACTGGCCTACTGAGTTATAATGCTGCATGGACTTGTAGGTAGGTACCATCATTTTAGAGGAACATATTGCCTCAGTCTTCACCTTGAAAATGTAGGCAGTATGTTCCTCTAAAACATTAGTATCTACCTACAAATCCATACAGCATTACAACCCAGAACACCAATAACAGTGTGAAGATAATCATAGACTGTTATTTGTAATGTACATTGTGTGGAGAATAGAATACTGGTCCAAAATCTGAAATAGAGGCATAAATACAACTAAGGTTCTTCATAACTTTGGATTATCCTATCATTTACCTATATTCAGACGAGTTAAAAATGCTAAATACTGCTGTCTTAGGGATTTGTAATTTTATCCAAGATACTGCTCTTATATGGATTACAGATGTGCTTATATCAGAGGTATATTGTATTTTCCCACTCCAAGTCTGCTTTCTTTCATAATGAAAATGTAAGAAAAATTTTATCACTTGGTCAAATAAAATTTATACATTTCTCCAACACAGTATAAGCCGGGTGGCTTAGTCAGTATAGTGACAGACTGTGGGCTGGATTACCAGGGTTCAATCCCTGACAGGCAGAGGATTTTCTCCTAGCCTTTGCATCCAGACCAGCTCTGGGGCCCACCCAGCCTCCTGTCCAGTGGCTACCAGGGGGTCTGTTCTTGGGGGGAGCGTGATCATGGAATGATACTGACCACTCATCCCAATCTAGTGCCAAGATTGAGTGTGAGTAGGAGTTATACCTCCCTCCTTGAGGGCCTGCATGGCACATAGTGGAATAGCTTCACTCTTCCCCCTCCAACATAACCCCCCTCCTCAAGTAGTCAATTTTACATCCACAGAATGCTTTCACTATGAGACTTGCACCTGGAAATGTTTCTTGTATCGCATTGTGTTAAGTTACCTCAGATACACTTCATTTCCTGCATATAATGCAATTATTAGTCTGTGGTATTCCTGATAATCAATTATATTATCATATGCAGCAATAAAGGAAACTACATATCAAGTCTGTCTTGCTTCCAGGTGGTCTCTCATGATTTCATCAAGTGATTTAATAGGTGTCTGTTATGAAATGTTACACAGGATCTCAGTGCACAACTATTAGCTTATCAAGGATGACTGTGCTGCATGGAGTCAATTCATTTGGTAATATTACCAGTAACTAGAATTATACAAATAAATAGCATCAGTCAAATATAAATGTTCCATATTCTAATATGAGCAGTCGTTCTGTTTCAGTCTTTGTGGTTGAAATGATGTTACAACACTTGACAAGTAACAAAGCATATTTTTAGAATAGTGTTGCTGTTGCTCTGCTCGTGTACCTCTTTGTTATGGTATCAGCTAACTTGGTATCATTGCTCCTTTTTAATAATTTTTTGCGGGTACTGAAAGGTTGCTCATATTATATAGCATTAATACATTATAGAACTTTTAACTATTAGTTTTTCAAACATTTTCATATTGATACAGTACACCCAAGTTCTGAGACATGCCACACTTGCCAGATCCCTATTTTCCCAGAAATTGTTGAATTGCTTTTCTTTATTCAGGCAGTCTTTGTCTTACAGTCTGGAAAATACAAAATTATTTCCTTTGGATATAACTTTGTTGAAGTCAAATTCCAAACCTGTACTCTATTAAATTTCTTATAAGTCCAGTTTAATTTTTGCATCTCCTAATGAACTTTTAATAAAACCCACAAATCTTGCAAGTGTTATTTCTTATAACATGAAATTTTTACAGAATGTAACTGGCCTTTTCATTGGTTGCTGATGGGAGTCTCACAGGTTGCCTTTATGCTGATTTTGTAAATGTGAGCAAGACATTCTGGGAAGACCGTCAAATACCTACTCCTCTTCACTTAATGTTGACACGTGTGGTAAGGTTAGTAATAATATACTATTTAGATTCCTATTTCTGTGGTACTAGTACAATTATTACACTGAATTTTATAACCTCAGATTTTCACCATAATCATGTTTGTAATTGATATGTAAGTAAATATGATTTCATGCAGAATTTGTAAGCATGTTTATGATCTAACTCCATACATTTAGTTCTGATGATTCATTTGTCATTGTCAGACAAAGCGAAATATGTTCTTCATGCTGCCAATCCTGTAAATGAACTGCCTTAACAAAAAACTGCAGGACCAAAAAATAAGTGACAGTGTCACTCATACCTCATATGTCTGCATTATCACCATGCTTGTAGTATTACAACAGTAAATTAAAAAGGACAAAGTTGGGGTGATGTCCTATGGCATGCACATTCCAAGTTTGATTAAGATAAAACCAATATTCCCAAGATAATTATGCAAGAGTTTAAGTATAATGTTAATAATGAAAGTCGTAACTTGCCTGGCTAAAAAGAGGATACATTTTTATTTCCTGAAAGGAACATTTATTACCTACCACTATGTACAATAACTCGTGTTATTCTACTAACATGCCATCAATTAAGTGTCAGATAAATATCGATACACCAAAAGTATAGCATGTCCTGATGTTGCAGATAGAGATGGTCTCCAGACATGAGTAACTAAGAATGTATTGAATAAGCTGTCATGAACAACTGGAACAGTGTGGTCCCACAGCATTGGGATTGGGTGGATGTGTTTAATAACCTGTTACTATAAAAACTAGTATGGACTAAATACTTTAGGAACTTGGGCAGATTCTTTGTAAGCTGTTAACAAGGTAATGAACCTTTAGGTTCCACAGAAGGCAGACTAGTTGAGTGATATTAGCTTCTCACGGTCTCCTGCATCGAGATGATATATTGGGTAAATCTAAGTGTAGCCACTAATGATAGAGTTACACTTCAATGCTAAAAGATAATTATCATACAGTACTAAATCTACAAATCTTGCAAATGGTAACATATCTGAATAAGAAAAACTTCTTTAAGATACTTGAAATTTATTGGTCACAGTACATGAACAGAAGTACACTGTAATTCATACACTGTAGACACAATGACCACAGGGTTATAAACCTTAGAGTTTAGGCCTTTCTTAACATATTAATACAGTGTTCAACAAACTGTTATTCACTTACATATTACAGCCACACTCAAGCTCATAAACACCTACTTCTACATCTCACACTGGTCACATAAAATGTCTGTAAATATCAAAGATTTTATGTTATGACTGGACCAATAGCAGCAACCCAAAACAAAAGCACTTTTTTAAGACAAGGAAGCAAAATACAAATGCTCTGATATTTTTAAACCCACATTTAATGTTTGCAATGTTTATGCATGCAAATAACTCTGACATATACAAGGAGCATTTCTTTAAGAAGAATATATCTTGAAGTACTACCAATGTTAATGGCATCAAGAATGCTGTGTCACTGCTGATAGCAATATATGACATATTACTCAAAAGAAATTCTCCATACAAATACCACACTATTTTTATTTCAAGTAACAGGAAATTAGAACAAAAATGCAAGTTGCCATGCAAAAACAACTATAACCTTATCCCTTCAAGAGCTTTGATCAAGGTTCCTTTTTTTCCATCCTATCAACTTTAGTTTTTGGTACAAGATCAACTGTCATGAGCATGTATTGGTGGAATGGAGCATATCCACTGTTTATTACACCTAAGTATGTCATTGCACTAGCAGTCAGTATTGATAATAAACTTTTACCTATGACTTACTTCCAGCAGTCACCATATTAAGTCAAATTTTCCACTTCTCTTTTCCCACACTGATTTGTAATACATCCAGCAGTTATTCAAAGGCAGTGAAAAGGAATTCACTGTCCATATAAGTTTTTTATTTTTACAATAAAGAATTCTCTCTAAGTTATGAGCCCAGCTAGCTAACAGTTTTAATACCAAATAAATTTTATAATCAAACCTACAGAGCAGTTTCCAAAGCCAATCAATTGGAGAGCTAAAGCAATGTTTCTCAACTGCAACCTACTGTCAGTTTGAGATTTAATTTGTTGATAAACTGCAAATTTTAATCAGCACAATATGCATGTTACATAACTAGTTACACCATAATTGTATGACTAATCACTTCGCCATTTCATTTTACTGTTTAAATAGTTGGTGTTGACCATCTGATCTTCCTTCCCTCTCCCTTTTGTAGACTAGGAAAAAGATAATGGCATGTTGAAGTTCACTAAAGGCCAGCTTACCCACAATTTCCTCAAATTAAAAAGCAACAGTCAATATGCCCCATCAAAACTACTTTCTTAAAAATTTCCCAGTATCTTATATGTTCAAATTAATCCACAAAATATACTTCAGTACAATAATTATGCTGTACAACACCACTAAAAGATTTGAGTTCTGTACTTCCATACGTATAAGAATATGAAGCCATTTGTGTTTCCAACCAACTACCCTGCTGTTAGGTATTATATGCAGTGACAGACCTAATGTACTATTACCAGAACATTTAATACTTGCATTTCTGCTAAATAATAATAACAACAGTAATAAAACTTTAATGATGAATCTGCACTTGAATCCATTCTGTTACAGCTTGCTACATGTATCTTGATTAGTTCTCAGAATATAATGTTTTTACAAAGGTAGTAGTGCTGTGCAAGTAGTTTCCTTTCTTGTAACTGTAAATTTATTTGTATACTATTACTTTATAAAAACTGAGGTTGTATCCACAACCAATATAGAAGTAAAATATATTCATAGTGATACTGTTATTCTAATAAACTCTTATCATGAAATTTGTTTTATAATAAGCTCTCCTAAGTTACATGTACAAAAATATAATACTGGTGACAGACCAATGTATGTTTGGCTATTTTAATTATTTATTTATGCACAGCAGACTATGAATCAGGTTTAAGATAAGAAAAGAGTATCACAAATGAGTTTTACAACAGATAATAGCTGGAAATGACAACACACACTTACATAGTACACAAAATAATGTAATAATAAACGTTTTCCACAAATGCCACGACGATCCGAAGAGCCAAATTAACTTGTGCCCTACAAATTTTGTAAAGCAATCACAGGAGTGTGCAACTATTCTTCTCTCTGAACGGATTGGCTTTCTGAGAACTAAAGCCAACCAAGAGGCAATCCTCTTGTTCATGCTCAGTTATATACTTCATTATCTCTAACACTGCCTGAGAGACACTAATACGTTTAATAGCAGCTTCTCTCCTCAGCTGCTCCGTAACTTGCCGTTGCTGCTGCAAGTTGGAAATCATCATGTCCATAACAGCAGTATCTGACAGGCCTATTTTAAGGGCGTGGTTTTAACACGTAGCTACACAAAACCAGGCCGCAATAGTGGCCACTTGTTACTTCCGCAGATGCTTTACAAAGCGAGGGGAGATATTTTATTTCACTGTACACTTTAAACAAATTCACTCAGCAAGAATGTTCAGTATAGATGCCGTAGAAATAAATGAATTCCCTAATGTCTGCAAATATGGCTCCTTATTGCTTGTTTCCTCTGTGCTTGAGTTCACGGATGAAGTACGAAATCGTTGATTGCACAGAATTATAGATATACTCCACATACTTTTAGAACACTGCTGGAGGGCTTCAGAATAAAATACTCTATATAGGCCTAAGCCAAGCTTGTAAAACATGTCACAATACAAATAAAATAAAATATAAATACATAGTTGTGAAAGATAATTACAGTTTACTACAGAATCACACAAAAATAATTATACAAGAAAGCATTACCATTATTAGTTAAATGTATTTATAACGGTTCATAATATCTGGTTAAGGTACATCCTTCCACGGAGTGTTAGTGCTGACTTGAAGTTATGATTTAGACATTTGATAGTAGGTGGAAGATTACTGATTAACGTAATTACAACATAGTAAAATGAGATACAAATTCGTCACATAAAGGTTATATCTGTATCTGTTGCTTACATTGTGGATATTTAAGCTTGAAAATTTTTTATGTTGTAAAGAAGACAGCAATCTTCATACCTACCTCTGTGAAAACTTCAAATCCTACAGTCTATGTTGCACATTACAAATTATAATAAAGAGAACAACAATTCGGTTGCTATTGGAAGAGTATTAAGCTTCTTAAATAATTTCCTACAAGAAGCTCTCCTTTTAGTGTCTGCCATTGTTCAAACGCTTTCATTTGCCTCCCGTTGAATTTCCCTCATGCTACATGATAGGATGGAAGTAAGCTAAGTAGATTCCTTTGAAAGTTCCTGATTTCATGGTTATTATGGTAATATTTGACTCTCACTTTTTAATCACCTATGAGGTATGGCGACATTCACTTTTCTCAGAAGACCTGGTATAATCTATGATCTATGTAGGGGTTCATGTTTTGTCACTGGAATAAAAATGGGAGAGTCAGGTTGAAAATTTCATTTGTTTTAATGCATAATAAAAACGTGCATTTCTTCAGCGACTTAATGGTCCTAAAAATTTAATTTTTCAAAGCTGAGTATGATTTGAGGTTCTCACGGCGGCGATGTTCATTGCCCTGATGATGGAGGCAGCAAGACCCTCTGAAACGTCGGTAAACTTCTACCAGACTATACGGCGTAACAACCCAAAAGACAGTCATCTTCAGACTCGCCGCTGTGAAAACCTCAAATCCTACTTAAATGTTATGACACTGAATACGAATATCTATAATGAAAACATATTTTTCATTCAAGTGTACCAAACCTTACTGTCCAAAACGCTTACGAATGGTAGTAACTACTTATGAAATACAGAATGATCACTTTATATGTGTTAACACATGAAAACTTAACCAACTGGGTGTGAGAAATTTCTTCTGATAAATATGAGTGATGATATTGGTTACAGAAGTCTGCAAACACTCATTTTTAAAATGGAAGTGCAATACACTGTTTTAACAGGAGCCGGTTCGTAAAATTAATCAGTGCCGTGTTTTAAATGGATAGATGCTGTAGGAGTTAACATTTTTACCGACGGAGCTCCTGGCACTGGTTACTACTATTAGGACCTATGTAGTTCCGCTATTGCTGTGGATAGGTGGAAGAACTATATATATGGATGACGTCAAGTGACGCTTTCGTTGCAAATTTGCATTACTAATCTGTATTTGGTGATGTGCGGTAGACACAGTATAGAAAGTGGTTTATTTTCTCAGTTTTTTTTACTTGTGCATTCCATAACGTCATTTGGGATTCTTTGATTATATCTACTACAGATAAACTGATTCTTACTGCAGTGTCGCTACTTGCTTTCTGTTCGTTCCTGGGGAACTAAGCTCAGTCATATTTGTGCACGAGCATTCCAGAAACAGAATTTAGTTATAAAAGGACAAATATTGTACTTTTATTGTAAAAATGGCGTTACATGTGCCCAAGGCCCCAGGTGTGTCGCAGATGTTAAAAGAAGGCGCAAGGGTAAGTTGAAGGAGGTCCACATGCTTTTTCATGTATTGGTTAAATGATGATTTGACTTTGATTATAATGTTTGAAGAGGTTTGTTGTTTCATCCTATTTTGCGATATAAAAAGAAGCCGCGTTATGACTATGTATTAAATTGCTTAAAAGTATATTGCACCAATAATTAGGCAACAGAAAATACTGTTAAACTTAATTGAAGACCCATGTTGAAAAAAAGTAATTGGCTGCGTTAGAAAGCGTGCCCATTTAAAATTATGTTTTTTCGTTTAACAAAATGAAGTAGTAATTTGATTAATGTGATGGGAATGGGTAGTTATTGCAACGAACAGGACATAGAATATTATGCTGTGCAACTAGAATATAATTTCTCTAACATTTTTGTCCTATTCATCGCCCTGATGACGGAGACAGTATGACCTCTGAAACGTTGGTTAACATCGACCAGACTACACAGCGCAACAACCCAGAAGACAGAAATCTTCATTTTTGTCCTAGCTATACTCAAGCTTAGAAAGCATCATAAATTATCAACACGAAACTAAAGCAGAATTTTTCATATGCGTTGGTGTAAATATTGATTAATTTACTGAAATTTGCCACAAACAATATCTAAACTCTATACTAACATAATATAATAATCTCACATCAGTAGTTAATTTCCCCACAGGAATTCAAAATTACTCCAGTATTGCCATTGATAATATTTTTAAGACATTTCAGTAAATATCGTATTTCTATTGAACCAATGAAGTGATGTTAAATCTCATCTTGTGCGCATTCTTACTTAACAGTTTTGTGCTGGCAGTCCATCTTTCTTCCATGCCATATTTAGAACTCCGGCTTTTTTATGTGGGTTAATCAGGTTCAGTTTGAATTCCTGAATTATATATTATGCAAATTTGTATGTAGGTTTTGTATGTGAGATGTAAATGTCTGATGTTATGTTGTGCATGCATTTATCTAGAGAGCTTCTGACTTCATACAAATAATTTCTTATATCATCTGTTTGCAGTATTTTTCAGGTTTAGATGAAGCTGTTTACAGGAATATCAGTGCTTGCAAACAGTTTGCAGAAACTGTCCGTACTGCATATGGTCCAAATGGTATGAACAAAATGATTATTAATGAGCAAGAAAAGTTGTTTGTTACCAGTGATGCAGCAACAATAATCAGGGAACTAGACGTTGAGCATCCTGCTGCTAAACTGATGATCTTAGCATCACAAATGCAAGAGCAAGAAATAGGTGATGGAACTAATTTTGTTATAATATTTTCTGGAGCTCTTCTGGAAGGTGGAGAAGATCTTCTGAGGATGGTATGGTTACGTTTTTATTATATGAGTCATTACTTTGTCATTTAGTTGTTGGCAGTGTTACTTTATTGACATATACTTAATTTATCTTGGAGAAAGTACCACTGGTATTTCTAGAAATATGTATGGACCCCAGACTGTCCTGTGGTTGGGGATGCACAGAAAAATTATTATTTCACTAAGGATTAAACTGCTGCTGTCCATGTAATGTCCCTTACTGAATTACCGTTGATATATTAAAATGGAATTTATAAAATTTAGCTACATTATTTCATACGACCTATACCAACAATGGCTTTTGGCATGAGAAATAGGATTTTTAAAGCTCTGTTTTTAAGTATATGATTTGAGGTTTTCATGGTAGGAAAATGTAGTTTTCTGGGTTGTGATACTCTTGTTGGTGCGCCTACAAGACCATACAGCTTCACAATGTAGAAAACCACAATCCATATTTTTCCAAAGGTTTTGGAATTTTCAGTTTGAAAAATTTATTTATTGTATTAGATTTTCTGACAATTTCTTTGCCATAATGTTTGAACTTGTTGATAAATATAAATTAAAACATGAATATTTAGTTTGTCTCTTGACAGTGATGGACAGTGACATAAAGAACAATGTCATAATATGCAAAGCTATTATTTTTTCATTCTGTACTACTACTCTTCTCTCTTCTTATTAAATACAATCATTATATTGTAATGCTCCATCAGATTATGTTACTTGATGGGGAGTGTGTTATTATTAGTGCTGCTTCTATTTCCTTTTAGGGTCTGACATCATCAGAAATAGTTGATGGCTATGAACTTGCTCTAGAAAAAGCTTTGGAAATTTTGCCAACTCTCACATGTTATGAAATTAAGGACTACAGAAATGAAGCTGAAGTTGAGAAGGGCATTAAAACTTCAATTATGAGCAAACAGTATGGCAATGAAGACTTCCTGGCAAAGTTGATTGCAAAGGCTTGTGGTAAGTTTTTTGGTGAACTGTCTTCGATCAGTGCATCACTATATATTATATTGGATACTTAAGAAAGTATGACAGTCCTTGCTAGTGTTTGGTATATGGGCTTGAAATTATAATTTTGTGGCTAAGGCATGTTATTCCTTCCCTGAAATATTAATTGTAATTTGTGTTTCATATTTTGTACAGTATCCATCTTGCCAGAGAAGACAACATTTAATGTGGATAATGTCAGAGTGTGTAAGATCGTGGTAAGCATAATTTGAATTACCAGAACTTGTAAGAGCCTTCAGATTTCAGGGGATTGAAAATTCAGTCAGTATTTTCTATATTGCCATCTTGGATTTGTAATTAATTGACAGAAAGATTGGTTGATCTTGTGAGTGATTGCTAAAAGAATTGAAGGGGTACGGCTAAATATGAAAAGGGGTATGATTGGATTGATTTTCAATGATAAGTGAGCAGTAATGATATTGCCAAACTTACTGTCATTGCTAAATAAACATAAATGGTATGGGCATATCTATATAATGCTGTTTTCTGGTTATTGAATTTGTGAGTGAATGGGAACATGTACAGAGGTGAGCAACTGTTGATTTAAAAAGTAATTTTCTTTTTCCAGACTAGAAACATTTTTATGTTGAGAACTACAAAAGCTGCAAAATTTGCTCTAAAATTAATCTTGCGACCATAATTCCACTTCTATTCAGCTTGATGTTGATGGTGTTCATTTTGCAGAACCCTTTAAAGTTGCTGATGCTTCTGCCAAGCGTTTTCAGTCTGTTTACAATACCCCTTGTTTAGGAGTATAATAAAGAATTGAATAATAGACGAGCTCAGTCACACCTGAGCATTCATCTTAGCTGGCCTTGTGGACACAATTTCAGCCATGATGTTGGAATATCATTTGTCTGCTAAGTTAATTAAAATCTGGACTTGCTTTCTCTACAGAAGGCTGCAATTGATTATCTGTATTATGGTTGTAAAGACATTTATGATTAAAAATGGGCACAATCAACTGCATAGTTTTATGGGATTGAATGAAAACAAAATATTTATTTTTGTACAATTTATGTTTAATAGAAATTATTAATGTATTTTTTTACTACAGCTTTTTCTGCCACAAGCCTCTAGTTTATAAAAATGTTACATTTTCATTTCTACAGTGTCGAAGCGTTCATTCCTAGTTCATATTATTTCATTATTTTACATTGTCAGAATTTATGTTCTAGACACCAGTTCGTCTTGTTAATAGGTGGATTTTTGTGATATAAAATTGTTTTTTTCTGACAGGGCTCTGGCATGCATAACTCAGAAGTAGTACAAGGAATGGTTTTCAAACGTCTAGTAGAAGGGGACGTCACTAAGAAGTCTCAGGCAAAGATAGCTGTATACACATGTGCTGTGGATGCCATGCAGACTGAGACGAAGGTAAGATCTGTTATCCATTTTTGCCCCTAGTCTACAAGATACGGATGTGTGCAATTAAGCTAGCTTGGGCATGCTAGTTGCTTTTTAAATCCACCAGGATAGTTTATTGGTGGTTGATAAGCTACAAGATACTGTATATGAATTATGTAACATGGACATAATGGGACTTGAGGAATAAAAGTTGTAAAAACAGTCTTCCCATCTCCTTGGCCCTTTTGTCTATGTTTAATGCTTTAATGTTATGTTCTACCACATTAGGTTTAGCAGAGAATTGAGGTAATATATACCATACCTTCTCCCCACCACCCTTTAGCCCCATGTATAGGTTGTTTGAAGAATGTAAGGAATATTGAAGGACTGCATTGGCAACTACGTTGATTTTATGCCAAGGAAGTTGGTTAATGTTTACATGCTGCAGGTATTAAATTAAAAATATAGCTGCTTAACTGAAAGAGAATATAAAATGATATTTCATACTGTTTCATGAATATGTAACTGATTCTGTTTGCAGGGCACAGTTCTGATCAAGACTGCTGATGAATTAATGAATTTTAGTCGTGGAGAAGAAAACTTGCTAGAAGAACAAATTAAAGCTCTTGCTGAGTCTGGAGTTGATGTAATTGTGGCAGGTGCCAAGTTTGGTGATATGGCAGTTCATTACATAAACAAGTACAAAATGATGGCAGTACGTCTACGTAGCAAATTTGACGTGCGGAGGTTATGCAAGGCTGTTGGTGCGACAGCATTGCCTAGACTGGTAAGAATTGCCTTCTATTTGCTTTATATCTTCTGAGTTGCAGTGAACTAATTATGCTTGATACAGAATCTGAATGAACATGAAACATTTAGTTACAGAGTTCTTCAAAAAATTTCTGGTGCTGAGAGTTTATTTGAGCCTTTGTCAATTTCCTTTTGCACTTTTCTTTTAGAATTTTATGACATGAGTAACACATATATGTTTACACTCATTCTTACAGACACCACCAACCCGTGAAGAATTAGGTTATGCTGATGATGTATTTGTTAATGAGCTTGGAGATACTTCTGTGGTAATATTTCGCATTGATGGCAGGGAATCACGCATTGCTACTATCGTAATTCGTGGTTCTACAGATAATTATATGGACGATATAGAGAGAGCCATAGATGATGGTGTCAATACCTTCAAGATCATAACCAGGGTAAGTTTAACATTTATCTATAGTGGCATGCTCTTATACCACAGTTGATGGGATGTTTTAAGTTTAATACAATGAAAACTGGTGGTTAAGTGTGTAATATCTTGCAAGGTACAACATATGTGAGTATGATGATTTTTCAAAACTGTAATGTATTATGAATTTTAAATTAATATACTCAATAGAATGCAGCATTACCAGGGGTTAGAATAATTTTTCCAAACATTGATATTCAAACATTAATACATATAGAATGTAACTAATAGACATTGTCAGGCTGAAATTGGGATTCTTAAATTTAAGAAGATGGCGTGCTTAATGTAAAAGGAATGAGACTTTTGTGATCATTGAGGTAGACCAGGGAATATAGGTAAAAATGTTTTCTAAATGAATACCAGTAGGTTCTTATTTTATATACTGCAGTCCAATGTAGAGAACTGTTCCATTCAAGTTGTCTGAAAATAAGACTGTACAAACTTTTTAACACTTTTACATCGCCAACACTTTCCAACTTCAATGTAAAAACTTGGTTGTTGGACAGATACATTTTTATTTCCTCTTTGGTCCCACAACTTGAAATGACCATGTGTTACAGTGATTTCATCATTCATACAGTTTCATTATGATTACTAATGATTCATTGAAACTGCACATGTGAAATTCTGTATAGCAATAGATCAGGGAGATCCCATTCACTGATTTTCTCTGAAACATTCACATGCCAGCAGTTAGAAGCTTGGTGATGTTGAAACTCCGAGGATACGTCTGACAGATTTAGTGTAATGGGAATTTGAGCTAATGGAAAATATACACAGAAAAGGATTATTGTATAATAATTAACTTATAGTGCAATGAACATTTTGTCTTATTGTACTTGTCATAAAATTTATTTATAAGTACCTTGGCTGGGGTTACCAGACGCCCCATTTTGACTGTGACAGTTTATATTTTTATCCTGGTTTTTCTCATTTTCTTCTGTTTTGGTAAAATGAGTTTATAAGTTACACAGGTATTTATGAGTCAGCTCACACTGCTGTCATTGTTACTGAGCGCATGGAATATCATAATTTGTAGTAATGTGTTCTCAGTTCCATTTTCTGCAGTTATGGTGATGATGATGGTATGGTGGAGAAGGGATAATACAGCAGTTGTCAAGCACTTGAGTTGTTCGTAGTTTCCGTTGTGCTGGACATACTGTATTCAGTTGTTTTGTGTAGGATGGGAGATTTGTTCCTGGTGCTGGTGCTACTGAAATTGAATTGGCTCGACAAATTACAAGCTATGGTGAGATGCAACCAGGTTTGGAGCAGTATGCTGTGAAAAAGTTTGCTACAGCACTACAAACCTTTGCCAAGACTCTGGCTCAAAATACAGGAGTGAAAGCAAATGAAGTGATCTCAAAACTGTTTGCTGCCCATGAAGAGGGGAAAAAGAACTATGGTTTTGACATTGATGTAAGAATACTAAGACTTTGTACACTATATTATACAAATATACATTTTGGAATTTTGGTTTCAGACATTTTCTCCTTATTCATAAAATGTCAAAGTTACTTTGAAGGATTAATTTGTTTTGTTGTACAATAGATATTTTCCCAATCTATAACAAAGGATTTTTTTGAATGAAGGAATTGTTGAATTTTAATGTGAAAGAACTTTTTGATTTTATGTTACAGGGAGAAGGAGCTGCAATTAAGGATGTAGTTGAGGCTGGAATTATTGATCTGTATTTAACAAAATTTTGGGGTATGAAGTATGCCTTAAATGCTACTAATACCATTCTGAAGGTTGATCAGATCATTATGGCAAAACGTGCAGGTGGTCCCAAACCACCATCAGGTGGTCCCAAACCACCATCAGGTGGTGCTGGTGATGATGATGAGTAAAATTTGTCATCTCTTCCCCTCCTTCATTTATCTTCTACTAGCACTAATATTTTATATTACGTAAAATTGGTCTGTGTTAGAAATAAAAATGTGAACAATTGTATTTTCTGTTCTAATACTTTAATTTATGCTTTCATTAATACTGTTTAAATGCTTTTTATAATTAAAGCCATTTACATTCCTGTGATGTAATCATATTTATGTTGTGAATACTGCAGTAGTTGAAATTACCTACTCAAAGCTATGCATGCTTTGCTGCTCTTTAACATATAAGTCAACACAGCTGAGTACTTGAGTGGTTATTCAAACACTGAACTGTTTCTGTTAGTGAATCTCTTGACATTTTAGCTTCACTTGTATCAGTTTTGATGGGCTGGGCTCCTGCAGCTGTTACCCTTCTCCACTTATGGTAAAGATGATATACTTTCCTTAGAGATGGATTTAGGGATCCATCAGCAAGGTTAATATCTGCATTCTGATTAAGTTTAATTTTAATTTCATGAACTTCACATGCTTCAATAGGAGTCAAGCCATCCCTGAAGTAACATTCAAACTCTTCTGTAACATTTTGGCTTATTCTAAGATATTTTAACACGCTGTCACATTGTATGTGATGGTTGTGCTTCAGTTCCAAATGCATAACTGCACTTAATGGAGGGTCCCTTCTCAAATATTTGTCCTTTCTTGTAGTGTTTCTGTTAAGCTTCTTAACCTTTATATCAATTTTTGCCTTGCAGTCTGTTGAGCGTTGTGAATCCTTGGATTTGTTCCTGTTGCTTAAGTGGCACATCCACGTTTTGTGAAATACAGATCTGTGCATCAGAAAATGATGATTAATATGCAACAAGTTCACACAGTTTAATGTGAAGAAATAATGGCATAAGCACATTACAGGTCATATCCATTTCAGAAAAGTTTAAAAAATTTGAAGTTTAGGTGAGGAAGAATTAGGTCCTCTCAGAACTATGTGTAATTACAAGAACTAAGATACTAAAAAATAACTAATCTTTGTCTCTCCGTCTTGTTGGTGAACTTTTTCAACAGCATGCTACTTGTGAGATATGTAAAGGGAAGTTGGGCAGAAATTCAGACGCAGTGTACAGAGGCCATGAAAAGTACCAGTGTCTGTTCAGCTAAGCAAATTTTGTTGTTTTCAAAACTTGGTTCATCAGTATATTGCATTGTGAAGAATGAGTGAATACTAAGTTTTGTTTATGACTGGACAGAACAATGTCACAAGGGACAGGGAAGCCCATGGAGACAACACTGTGTGAAGCTGTTGCATACAGTTTTCATATTCAGGGAGTGTTTATGGTCACTGCAGGATGACCTGTGGAAGCAGGAGAGGGAAACCTAGGAGACCATATATAAATGAAAGATGAAGTCAATGAACTAACTATCTGGACGGCTCCAATGGTTCTGTCGTATCAAAATACACTGTAACTAGATATCCACAATCTCCCTGCCAAGTAGGATTTGAGGTTTTCATGGCAGTGTGCCTGAAGATGGCTGTCTTCTGGGTTCTACCAGACTATATGGTGTAACACCCCAGAAGAGAGCCATCTTCATTCTCCCTGTTCCCAAAATGAAAGCCTCCTGAGGTAACAGAAGCTACATAGTTTAAAGGGAAAGGTGTGCAGGAGTATTCAGGCATGGCATAACCATTAGCAGAAATGTCTGACAGCATCTAGTAAAATGTACCATGGTTAAAATCCATTATCTTGACTGTACCACAAAATTATGTGATTAAACAACCGGTAGTGGAGAGAAACAAAAGTGTAAAGACAGCCACACTGGTCCCTAAAGTTGGTCTGGCGGTGTAAATTCTTTAATTTCTACGATCATATTGGGTTGCAATAAGCAGAAGTATTACAGGTTATGTTGGCCCATTTAAGCACTAAGACTTACATATGCAAGTTTGGCTTAACACACTTCTATGCAGACACTAAAACAATATATTTTTTTCAGACCAACAAATCTTATACCGCTACTTCTGTAACAATATTCAAGACTGATCAACAAATCTTGTCAGTACATAAAATCAGTTCACTTTCAAAGGCCTGTTTATAAGAAACATTGATTAACAAAACTGTCATACCTGAATGGTGTCGTAATTACTTTTGCAACAATCCATTTTGTTCTACTTTTTGATTCATATGCTTTCAGCCAACGTTCACAATCATCCTTATTTTGAAGGTTAGCTCGAATTAGAATACATTTTTTGCCATCTGAATCTTTATCGACATCGTACACAAATTCACTTGGAAGATCATCTAACGAAAACCCAGTATCCATTTTATGCTGTAATGTGCCTCAATTTCAATTTTATGTAATATGTTAGGTTTTATTAATAATCCCTGAAAATAATAATAATAAAATTAGCACGACATGGGAACAAACACCGATGATAGAGCCATACAACAGCAATTTGTTCGTCTCACACATGACGAGTTCTACTCCTGTGGCCTGCCATTTGTTATACTCTCTGCATGTGATCTGTGCCGAACCCTAGTGTCGATTTACAACATTTAAGTTTAAAAAAGACGAAACTGAACACGTAAGAGAAGGTCTTATGAGTAATGAGTTTTGTAAACATTAAATCAGTGCTTACACGTGATAGAAGCAAACTGTTGTTGTCATATGATGCAGTGAATTTGCTACTAACAGTAATTATAGTTGTCAGTTCATTCGCCTGGCGTATCCAACTAGTTACAGGAGCGAAAGTAACAAGAATGCTTTATAACCACGCCGCGAAGACAAATGGAGGAGTGAAGGTGTCATTCCCGCAATCAGTTAGAGGTGAGTAACCAAGCAATTCACGACTCTTCCATCCCTAGCACGGTAATCGGGACCAAACCGTACATTTCGCGTACGTCACTAGCTGACAGGTAGAAGGAAAACAAACACATATGCTATGTAAACCAAAGACTTTGCCGACTTGGAAGTATGACAGAGAGTTACAAAGTACCGCCACTGAGAAGAAAATACTTACATTATGGACATTATATGCGTCCTTATCGGAATAAATTTGTAAGTACCATCAAGGAGACCAAAACCGCACTAGTAGGTCTATTGTTCCTCAATGTTGAGAGGCTTCATAAACAATACAAACGATAGGGAGGGTCGGCCAGTGGAGTTGGAGAGGGCTGTTGCTATATCAGAACACATACGCAGTACCTTCATTATTTTAAATATACTAAACAAGGAATGTATCTGTTTTCGTCCTTTTAGAAAGACACGTGAGTAAATAAAGCTGTTAACTTGTTATAGTCAGAAGCATGGTAACATTCTTGTAGGGGCGTAACTTCCTTTCTGTATTTTGAAGTTCAGGAAGTACTGCTGCATTTAGAATGGCCACAAGCCGAAGGGTGGAGTGTTATTTACCTCGCTCCTCAAACAACGCCGAATCAGGGAAATCATACTACAGCGTTAAAGGAAGGAGTATGCATCTGGCGAAGAATTTAATACTGCCCATGGCGATGTTAAGATATTAATAATAATACGGCACTTTTAACATCTTAAAAAGGAAATAATCAATATTGCATTCAATAGATCAACATAGTTCTAGCGTGTACATAGGTTGTTAGCTTGCTTTCCTTGCTACACCGAATTCTTCATTTCGTAACTTTTGAAACACTTGGCGGATTTTCACTGTGATTAGTGTAATATTCATCCCACTAACTACGAACAGATACGTACATGGAAACTCTCTTGCCTGCCCAATTAGACCCGGAAGAACATGTATTTTGTGCGCAACTGCTTGCTTAGCTGACCTGACCATGCGTTTTTGCGCTCAGTCTGTCTGTGCTGCCACCAGCTTGCTACCATTTCTGTCAGCAGGAGCGCCAGAGAAATTGCCACGCCTCCTGACAAGATGGTCAGTAGTGGCGTTATCTGCCCGACACTGACACTGGTCCACATGTTCTGTGCCTCTGGCACGTGGGCCGCCCAGGAGTCCAGCTTGTGTTTGCGCAGCACGCCCCCAGACTGCATCCTCGAGATTCTGCGGAAGAATGCAGTCCTGTCAAGTCCTCCTTTGGACTCTGACCGATAATCTTACAAAATACTACACTCAGCTCCCATGTTAATAATAGACATGATTCGAAAGTTGTACTCTTTGGAGTACGCTGACATTTCGAAGATGTTATTTACGGCCCGTCACGTAGACTACTGTTGCCCTGTGATTCGGGGTCATTGTTGCGGTAATGAAAACCTTTTGGTTCCATAAAAGACGAGGAATTTCTTGGCCAGCTAAGAACCACTTTCTCAAGAACAATTGTATGTAGAGTTAGACAAGATTCATCGGCGCAGACAATGAGTATTTGGTGTATTCATTCTGTATCTTAAAATTACAGTTCATCAAATTAAATAAACACATTCTCGGAAGCAACGCTAAATATAATTATAAAAATATAAAGCTGCCGAATAATTTGCTATAAATTTTGCTCGCAATGTTATCTGTAGAAGGAAACAACACGTGACCAAAATGTAGCTCACGCTAAAGAAACCGCTTCGCCTGCAAGAGTTAGTTGATAATCCGTTTTTACAAAGTTCTGTAACATATGATTAGGTATTAATTTTTGTGTTATATTTAAAAACAAATGATACGAAGTGCGATCGGAAAGTTTATAGACTGAGCCTATAAAAACCCGTACACTTATTTCAGGTATTAAATTCATCCATCACCCTCGAAGTAGTTCCCCTGGGAGTGAACACAACGATCCCAGCGCCGCTGCCAATCCTGGAAGCATCCCTGGAAATCTTTCTTTGTCAGCCTGTCTAGCACCATCTGCGATTCTGCCTGAATCTCTTCTATCGTCTCAAATCTCCTTCCCTTTAGCTGAATTTTCATCTTTGGGAAGAGGAAGAAGTCACACGGCGAATAAGGAGGGTGCGGGATGACGGCCATGGTGTTTGAGGCCAAAAACTGCCGAACTTTGAGGGCGGTGTGCGCTGGCGCGTTGTCATGATGCGTCGCATGTGGAGTTCTTCCTTTAGAATCAGCTGACAGGTCCCATAGCCTATCCCAACAATGTCGCACAAGTCGTTGATGGTACGACGTCGATCTTCGTGAATGGCCTGCCGAATCTTCGTAACATTTTCGGGCGTTGTGCTCGAAGATGGTCGTCCAGAACGCTCGTCATCATCGACAGAGGGTCGGCCATTTTTAAAACGTGAATGCCACACAAAAGTTTGTGCACGACCCATTGCGGACTCCCCAAATGCTTGCTTTAGCATTTCATAGGTTTCCGTAGCCGTTTTGGCGAGACTTTGGCAAAATTTGATGCACACTCTTTGTTCATGAAAATTCGCCATTCCGAAATCGCAGGAGGGTAGGTGTAATGCACTACGAAAACGCCCGTAACTAAGAAACAAATGCTAATTCGATGATGCCGGCTGGCACACTGATTCACTATGAATGTAGGCCGCACCCCCTAGCGGCAGAAGCTCGTAATACATCCGGTTCGCCCGCTATTGACACAGTCTGGAAACTTTCCGATCGCACCTCGTAAAACTCATTTTGTTGTTAGTAAAGCTCACAAGCTAAGTGCAGACACTCACTGATAGTTCAGTAGACGCCTGTACGGGTTGTTGTCAGTGACCACCATCCCCAACATGAACACGTAGCTGTACGATAGTAACGCTATATTGCAGTTCACCAAATCCCCGACTTCTTTCACAGCCTCCAAGCTTGTCCAGAAAGCGTACTTTGTGGTGCAGACACGCCGGAATCCTTCCAAGTTTGTATCGACAATGTTGTTGGGGTCTGGTTCGATTATTTTGTCGTATATTTCATTCGTGATGCCGTGATCTACATCCTGTAAAATGGAGCTTATCGTTATTTTGAATTCACATATGTTTTGTATATATGTTTAACACAATGACATAAAGATTTCATTAAAATCCTTTGGAATCATGATATGTCAGAGCAACTATGCACACCAGTTTCTTCTGCTGTGATCTAAGGAGAAGCTGTTGTGCTTTTCAGTGCAAATTTTTCGGCCAAATTATCTTGTACGTAAATAATGGCGCTAAAGCTTGAACATTATTCATTGCAAGGAAACAATGCTCGTTAAACCGCCAGGTATAGTTCTAAAATAAAGCAGGTTGATAGGGCAGAGGATGTTAATACTATAGCAAATAACTTCGTTTTCTATCTTTCATAACACGTAATTTTTCTAAGTTTCCATGGGACTATACTCCATATCTTATCTTTGGGGGAAGGGGCTCACACAATCTTTCCAACAGTCTATATTGATCACGTTTGACACCCCTGCCTTCGAAGCAGTGTCCCGAAATTCAAGAAAGCTCCCGGCCGCTGCTGTGTACCGCTCTGTTTGATTTTATGGTTATCGGCGATTATTTGACTTTAACATTTGGTGAAGAAATGTTTTGTTTTTATGGCCTAGAATTGTACATTCTTTTAAAAATAAGAGGGAATGGTTATGAAAAGCGTGTTGTAGCACGGAGGCCTGAAGTGAATATTAATACACACAAGAACTACCACATATTTAATCACGCGGCTTTTATGCTTTGTGCACGTTACATACGTCTTTTCTCCACAACTTATTTTGCTATCCATCCTCTTATATATACGGTAATTACACTAGTCTCTTCTACAAAGATGCGTGGGCACTATGACTTGTTTAGTGAACGCCTTGGTTCGATTGGGGCTAGAGGACCAAGAAGAATAAAAGAGCATATAAAAACTACATTAATGAGCCATTGGAATTGGGCATATCAAATTCTGTATGGATATAGGTCATAAACTTACCCACAAATTCCGAATGAAATATGTCTATTTTCATATGTAAACAGCTACAGTTTTGAGGTTATATATAATTTAAGATACGGTAGTCGGAATCTGTACTGGCGAAACCTGTTCACAGCAATTAATTATCAAATGGTCATTCAAAGTTCTGTCTAGTTTTACTATTTAGATTGAAGGAAAGTAGGCTTCATGAGATCTTCCCAGAAATTCTGGTCTTTGATACTTGGAAACATGCTACATTCTCACATTTTTGACGATCCTGACGTAATGGCGTATCATTCCCAGTTTGTAAGTGCCATCTGCGGCGAGCGCCTCAAGCGTTTTCACGTGGGGCTCCTTGTTCTGAATTGTGAGGAAGGAGATGAGGGTGGCCGAGTAGGCGGCGAGCACCACCACTGCTGTCACGTACCCCAACCAGTACACCAGACGACACGCGCAGGACTTGGGCGTTACGTCATGACCTGCAGAGACAGAGACAAACCGCCATACGAACTTATCACATAACGTGGTCTAGTGTTTGATACCCCTGCTCCTTATTCAGAAGAAGATTAAATAGTGAGGAACTGCATAATTCAGTCTTCACCTAATACTGGTAGAATCAAATCAGGGATCGTGTGATAGGCGTGATATGTAGAACACATGGGGCAGACGAGAAGAGCTTACAAGATTTTTGTTGGAAAATCTAAATGGAATGGACCAATTCGAAAACTGAGGTACGAATTATACTGGTACTGGATACTGGAACGACCCTTTCTTCAAGTGCCTGAGCACTGCGGGTCCCAACTTTTCGTTGGCTTGATCTATAGACATTCGGTAGGACTCCTTGGACGAGGGATCGGCCCGTCGCAAGGCCTCTACCTGTACACAGGACAACGCGGACAAACATCCATGGCTTGAGTGGGATTCGAACCCATGGTCCCAGTGACCAAGCGGCACAAGGCCCGCGCCTCAGACCGCGCGGCCACTGTGACCCCCGGTACGAAATGTAGAAGAGGAAATATTAATTTTGCTCGGAATAGGAACCAGTCACTGGATTTTGTGAACTCTGTAGTGAACCGTCGGGTTTCATAAAAGGCGGGTCCTTCTGGAGGGGGACCGTGCATCATGGAATTAGTTGGATGGCTCATGGCTTTGTATCAGCTGTGAACAAAAGAGTAATGCACATGTAATTTCGCAAATTAATGTTAAGTTCACACTCAGTCTGTACGTTACGAAAAATTAGTTTCTCACACCCACGGTGCTTTTTACAATTTCAGGTATCAAAAGCAAATATCATGTCAGAAAGAATAACTGTTATCAGTATGGTGAATTCGTTATTACCTTGTTGACAGAACATACTGAACACGTAGAATATTGATATGGCAAATGTGTACTGTTTCGGTGTCTCGTACTCTGGGTATGCTAAGCGTTGTCCAACGTAGTAGAACAGCGAGAGACAACCTGCGATTACTAAGATGCAGGAAATCAGGCCGAACCAGAGCGAGGGCTGAAATGGTCCGAAGAAGTGGTTCCACGCCATGTCTTCATTGTCTGCCGGTTTCAATACTATCACAAACCTGCGGAGATATACGAGTTCATGTCCTAATGAGCTAATTACATGGCGCTGGTTATTCATTGAGAAGTTGGTACTTAGCTTGCTTTCGCAGAACTCAATAGCTTAAAAGAATATATAACTTCGGCTTTCGGACGAGAGCCGCATCGAATGTTTGGTGTTCGACGTGGCTGTCACCTGTAGGCCGAAGTTATACAGTCCACGACTGTAATCTTGAGACTTGCGGGGTAAGGAAGATAGCGTCTTACTTTAACGCTACGGACTTCCTGCATTCCTTGCAAGTCTCAAGATTACAGTCGTGGATTGTACATTGAACTCCAGCTGCGTAAACCTACAATAGAATATTCATAGAACTGGCTCACTTACTTGCTTCTGTGCATAATGTATGTGTACTCCACAATTTTGGCTCTTTCATTGACGCAGCGAAAAGCTGCTACGCCAATGTCGTATTTTTTTAAATGCACATCATATACCATCTTGGCGAAAGGATCTGTCTTGTCGTTTACTTCGTAAGTGTATGATTTCTCTTCTAAGTAAGTGAAGTTGGTCCTGTAAACACAGGAAGAAGGTTCAATGTAATTAAGTACCATTTAATGGTTCTTTGCTGTGTTGCTATTTTAACTGTAAGCTGACATAGTGGTGCATTTTTAAAAATACTTTCACTTAGTTAATAAAACAATTTAATGTTTTTAACGAACCAGAAGTTTCGTTACTGTGTTCACTATTCATCACCAGTTCAGTCCAATCACCAAGTTCACACTCCATGAAAATTTATTTTGATATTTCTTCCTATCTATACGTAGTTTTCCACGAAATCTCTTGGCCTGACGTTTCCTGATCAAAATCTTACTAATTTCTCAACTTTTCATATCACATGCTTCTATTTTTGTCTTTACCACCTAATTTATATTCCCTCACATTTGTTACGTTTCCTAAAATGCTTGATGCCACTGTTGTGGGTTGTTCTCCTGGCGCAAAACCTATAAGCTAGAGGACACCCCCTTATTGGCTGTCCGCGACTGCTTATTCGATATTATTGCAGGCCTTCTCCTCCAACCGCAACCTTGTGGAAACAATCTTTGTCTATTTTAAAACATTCTCTGATAGTGGCACTTCGACTGCGTGTACCAGAGAATGACTGAGGATAACCATGGAATATCTCACAGTAGCCGGTCTCGAAGCCGATGATGGACCATTTGTGTAGCAACTGAAACCTCTCCATCCGTACTGTCAACTCTTTGGCCTAGAGGTCAGTGATGAGATTCGAACTGTAGTAGCGTTGAATAGAAATTTATTATTTTTGTTTGCAACTGTAAAGTTTTTTCTGTACGACGTATAATTTTTATAGTAACATACCCAATCGGCCACATTCTTACTAATTGGAAAAGGACTGTACCCCATTTTGAAAAGAACTAACAAAAACAGCCTTTTATGCAGGCTTGGTTTTGTTACTCACCTGAAATGTAGTTTATTCTCAAACTCTTTCCACACGAGACCAAAGAAACCCCCTGTCACAATGGCAGATCCGTCAGGATTCTTTGCAATGGAGGTGTACGGATTGTCCTAGCAAACATTCGAAGTGTATGTTCAGAAGTACAACAGCTCAATTCAAATTCATTACTAATGGGAAGACAGTCAAGTTTTATTTTGCATAAATACCTGATATGTCAGCTTAATATACTGATACACTTTCTGGCTCATTTCGAAAATGAATTTAAACAAGATTATAAAAGAATACAGTATGCATTTAACACGCACATTCGACAAAAGAAATTATAAATTATGCTCATAAAACTGTTGTGAAACTTGTTCACTTTGAGTTGATCTGTGGAAGTAAAACTCTTTACTAAACTGAATAATTATTCAACGATGAATGATTTACCCTGTAGACTGACAAACAAACATATAAATTCACATCCAACGATTTATTTTTAGTTGATGCTTATTCAAGTTGGCGGGAATTCAAAATTGTTTTCTGTTAACTCTTATCACTATTACTAACAGAAAATTAAGTACATAGGCATGAAACTTGTTTGGTGTAGGCCTTTGTATCAAAGTTACGTCTCCCCGTCTGAATTATTCGATTTTCAGGGGTCTTAGGTCTACACTTCAGCCCGTTGTGGGGTAGAGCACAATCGTCTTAAAACTACAACATGAAAAAATAAAGGGAAAACTAATTTAATTGATTTAGTATAGACCTGCTTGTGGTGTTTTGTGAGTGCAAAAAGGGGTTTCAAAGGCGATCCTCTGTTGCATTCAGTCTTACATATGGAAAATCATTTTTCATTCCAAAACGTGATTTTGGATTTTTCGTAATTAAAACAAAATAAATTTGACGAGATTGAATATCATACGTAAAAATGACACTCTATGATATGTCATTACGAAACTCTAAGAGAACAAGTAGACTTCGTAATTGAGTGGAATAAACCAGCTTGTATCAGTTTATTGGACGAAAACAAATGACACGCACTAATTGGCAACGTACACAACGCGGAGTTGAGGTACGCTTACTTGAATTGTAACAGCTTCCATGATGAGTCCATGTAAATTGTTTCTCCTTTCATAGAAACCTATATCGGTGAGATTCAGGACTTTGTTCCCAGCATTTATCTCGCCGAATACTTGTTTCTGCAGTGGATAACCATTTCTTACTCGGTAAACTTCTGTTAGTTGGACGTAATCTTCTGGTCGGTGTGCCACAACGAATTCACTGTCAACTGGCACATCAATATCAGAAAAGAAAGTGTCAATTTCCGTTCCGACACTAAGTAGCATTAACCAGACTGAACGTGCGAAATGTGGTTGTGTTGCCATCTGGAAGGCAATAAACAACAGAGTTAACTTCTTACTGAACAGGTTCTGTCAGTTTCAATAATTAAACCAACAATAAATCTGTTTGTACCACACACTTAACAATTTACTGTCATAAAGAATTCTTCTTGGGTTACAAGCCGTGTCAGGTGGTACTGAACTGAAATACGCTGATGATGAGGGCGAAGATGGTTCTCGAAACGTTAGAGTTTTCTCCATTTAACCACCTGACACGGCTGGTAACCAGAGAAAAGTTGATTGTACTTGGCCGCCGCGAAAGCTTCATATCACAAATTTACTATCAACTTGCATCTTAGTGTACTTTTTTTGAGGTTTCAAGACCAGATTTAATACGTATTTATTATTTGCCTCATTCGTGTTACATGCCTCGCACATCGTACTAAGCTTGAATGAAATATGTTAGTTAATCATTACCTCCTTCAGAGAAAGCATCATATTCTGGTCATCTGAAGTTAAAACATTGACAGGTCGATTCTTCTGGCATCGAAGGTATTTCAACGATACGTCGCCTTTGCCAGTATTAAGGGTCGCGCTTGTAACCGTGTTCTGAGACATTGTCTTGCTAAGACGCACCAGCGTTAATTTATCTCGTAGCTCTGAAATAAAATTAAACCAGACTTGCATGAATTTTCCAGATTTGCGTAGAGACTGCCCCTCCACTCGAAACTCTGAAAGGAGCGACCAGGTCGTTACACTTTCTTTTAACCGACTTTCGTAATCAAACACCTGGGAGGAAAAGCAGTTTAATTTACATGTTATTAAAATAGAAAAACTGAGATAAAGCTAAACGCGGTTCCTGTAATTCCACAAAAATGTAAAAGTGACATACGACATGTGATAGCCCGCCTCCATAGAATAATTGAAGGCTGTAGTGAGACAATATTTTTTCATTATTCCTGACTTTCTAAGTTATGTTTTCTCATAAAATTGAACCAATTGATAGATTTCTGTAAAAGTTTACATCAACGTCATGCCACTAGAGGCGACTCCACTTTGTTGTGTAACACCGTCGATAATTCCAACTTGGCGGACGTGAGAATTTCTGTGGTACAACCAACATTACCGCCATTACTAGCGCCCTATAGAAAAACAATGCAGCTTTTTAAAAGCACAGTTTATCTTTTACTGTGGTGATTACAACCAATGAAATTGCTGAAGTGCGGAGTTAACATCAACTGCTTCTGGGCTGCTGAAATTATATTTGGACACATTTTGGCATTCCAATCGCTGTATAAACTCTTAGGATGGGACTGAACCCTCGATAGTAAGCTCACCATAATGGGTTCGACCATTTGAATAAAGGAAGAATACGCATCCTGACCGGAAGTATTGCTGCAGTCCGATGATGGCTGCCGTGGTCTCTACCAGGGTCAGAGCTTTCTCAATCTGACCGGGGCAGAGTTCCACCATCGCCAACACTATGAGGAACTTGTTCCATGGCAGATGTTTCATAGCTGTAACGACATGTTACAATAGAAATTATCACAAAGGGAGAAAGATTAAAATGTCTCTGGCGCTTAACAAAACACGTATGGGGGTGGGGGGTGGAATGATAGCTCTGCGCATTCTTAACGGCAACAGATGAAGCCGAGTAGTCAGCGTCACGCTCCGGTCGCTTTACTCCAGAGAAAGGAAACTCGATACCCACTGGAGGTTGGAAATTGTCATATAACAAAACGGACTCAAAATTAACAGTTAGGTCTGTCATGTAAACCACGCTATGCATTGCATTTGTTTTGAATCTTTGTTTGCTTGGTTTTATGTTCTAGCGATGTTGCCTCGGAACGCAGATGGGGATTGAAGATTCCATCACTGTCTGTCGCACCATGAATTCCGCACTCTGCATTAAGTTTGAATCTTTCCTGATGGGGGAACTTGTGAAACAGCTTTTGGGGTTTCAAGGAACACTGCTTTGTCTCGCATTATAAGCTTATATTTTATATTAATTTATATTATACACATCTAGTTACGAAAAGCGGGTACAAACATGCTTGTTTACAAAGCAAATTTAACGCCTTTATGTGGTATTAAATCCGAGCTGACGTTATAATCACACACATTGGATACCTGCGATTTAATACAATGCTTATGAAATCTTATGAGATGTTGGACGCATCTGTTTATAATGTTCTGGGGGCTGAAACACGGCTCCAGCTACATTTTCTTATGGGATGGAGCAACCGACTCCAAAATTCCGGCAATCGACCGGTTACAAAATTAAATGCCACAAGGGAAGAGGCGGAATTATACAGATACTGAACAGAAACTACTTAGTCGGCCAAAGAAAAACAAAACATGAACTGGCATTGTCAATAGTTATGAAAGTATTGTTTTAGTTGCGGTTAAATACAAGATGTTCAGAGAAAAACACGCAACAATTCGAAGTGGAATCTCGTACAGAGTTAACTACAATTTCCATACCGGCACAAATGAAACCATCAACCGTCTGTTTGTAACTCTTTAGAGACGAACTGATGTAAATAATATTATAAACTAGGTTCTTAATTCTAAAATTGAAGCCGCATCGCCATTACAAATTTGGGCTCAACAATAAAGCACATTAATGATCTTTACGGAAAATTTTCTCTTTATTCTGAGAATAAAATAAGAACTGTTAGTAGACGCTGTAAGTGACAGGGTTTGGTACGCCTGTGTGCTGTAATTTATAAAGGGATAATACGGTGTCTCATGTTTGTCCCATGTCCAGCGATTTTAAATTAATTTCACCTGCCTCTCCGTCAGAAATCGAATTCAACGTACTTTCATTGTTCGGATTGTAGTTTACAGCGTTTTAGCATTCGTGTTTAAATACTTTGACAATAAATCGTGGGAAAGTCAGTAAGCAGACTTGTATACAATAAATAATTCTACTCGGTATGTTTTTATTAAACAAAAAATTGACAGGTTAACACAAGTTCAGATATAAATGATCATCTACAATTTTATCAGAGTAGGCTCAACGTGCCGACTATAAAATTGTTGAATACGAAGTTCCCGGAGATGGGGAGAAAGATTTCAGTAATCGCTTTTGAAACACGTTAATACGAAGAATAAACACTGCACAATCGATTTCTGTTGAGCACGTGAGAATTGTTTGCTTGTCCATACAATATCGTGGCACTAGATTGGCTGCTGTTAGTACCAGTGATTGTCATGACAAAGTAAAGTTTGTCCCACTACACGCCATGTAGGCGCTTGGGGGGAGTGGAGGTATAGCTCCTCTCTTTCTTGACCTCGGCACTAGATGGGGGTGAGTGGCCAGCATCACGCCCCGGCCGGCTTTGGACGCAGAGGCTAGAGGAAAAATCCTCTGCCCCCGTCGGGGATCGAACCCCGGTCGTCCAGCCCGTAGCTAGTCACTATACTGACTGAGCTATCCCGGCTCATACTAGTCATAATGTAATGAATGAACACTTTATGAAGCTAATAGTACTCACATACCTCAAAGCAAGTAAGCGCAGTTTCTTATGTAGTAAATCACTTACCTACATAAAATTTATAAACTTGACAGTAAAATAAAGTCAGAACAATCAACCAGTTCAGACCTACACTGTGATCGACTTAAATTTATCTGCTACATTGTTTGCAACAACACATTTATCCATTAGAATGTGGGTTTAAATTGTGTTGTTCATGGATTTGATTCGTACCATCCTTTTCTGTCATAAAATTAGGAGTTTTACAATTTGTACTCTGCACCAAGTATTATTAGGGTGATAACTCGAGGAGGATGAGATGATATTAAGTCTGTATGATAATGAGTTATGTAGAGACGCCTAAATCATAGCAATGCTAATTTAAGTAAAACTTTTCCTGCGTTTTTCTGGAGGAACTGAAGAAAATCACAGTAAACCACTGTTAGGTTACCTGAACTACGGGCACAGTTTTTAACGCGAAGTCTCCCGAACACGAAGCATGAGCCTCTTTCCTACGGAGTAAAGCGACTGGAGCCTGAAGCTGTTCACTCGCCTTCTAGGTAAAGAATGCGTGGAGCTTGATTCTTCTACGTCTTTGTGATACGGTGCTCAAGCACGGGGTCATCTTTGTCTTAGAGCTGAGAAGGCGTCGTTAGATGAAACAAGAAACAATTAGGAATATCAAGACATATTATAATATTTTGTCTTTTCGAAGTTTGAATGTTTCTGACAACGGTGCAGAACATTGTATTAAATTTGTATGTTTTGCCTTTGTCCATTGTATGTATGCCAGAAAATTACGTTTCGGAATTTGGTTCTGCTTCCGTTATCAGATAAAATGAGAACAGAACTATCTATCTGATGATGGAAGTAAAACCAGCTTCAGAAACGCTGCAATTTTGTGCGACGGACAAAGTCCAAAAGAACAATTTAACATTATGTCTTAGCTGATCAGTATTTTGTGACAGCTGATACCTTGGACCTATAAACCATTTGCATATGACATGAGATGAGAGGTACGCAATAAAGGACATCAACTGCTAACGATAAACATACAGTATACGTATGTAGTGACGCTTTCAGTAAAACCCCTTCATGTGTATGTTGTACATTGTCATATTCTGACATATGGTTTTTTGAAATAGCTATTTGACATAGGATATTAATATTTCATGTTATTGTCATGCATCCCTTCATTTCAAGGAAAAGAAAATAAATGTTTGGCAGTAATATATATTTTATAAAAAATAAACAGGATTAGTTAAATAAATAATTCATTCGCAAATATTGCTCACGAAGTAGTGTAATTAGCCCTTGACATGAGACCGTTTCACCTCAGGCTAAAATAACATAACTGCGTAAAATAATCCTTATACGAAATATGACCGTAATATACCAATATAAATATTGTGGATCGACAACCGATAATAATCAGTGGACAAATTATGGAATATGTAGCATAATACTGACGTAAACCAGTAGTTTTTTTTATCGAAGCCGTCACTTTAAAGATATTGCTAGAAGGCATGACTTTTGTGGCAAGATATAGACATTTAATTTAACTTATTCTATTGACTTATAGTTCCTAGGAAAAACGTAAAATAATAATGCATAAACTTATATCGCATGTCTTATTAACATTAAGGCCCCATGTTTTTAATTTCTACAGTAATCAGGCAAACAGCCGTTTCCTTCCCTCGTTACAGACAGCTGGCGTACGTCTCTCCAAGTCCATTTACCTTAAGTTAAGATGATGTTGCTCCTAAGATGCTTTTAGCTGTCTTTATAAGCCCTGTTGTTCTCCTCGGGTAACATTTAATGCGATACGTACTACCTGCTTTAACAATCAGAAACTATGCATTTTACGCAATATAGGTTTCGTATAATTCTTAGAGTAAACAGGAATTGTTTATTGAAACAAAATTAACCAGTTCATCTTTGTGATAGTGTAGTGTTGTGTTTTCTTTGCGGTACGGACTGAATCTTTAAATATTATTTTATAGAATGGTTAATGAATAATTAATTATAATTAATATAGAAAGCGATCGTGTTCTTTTGCCTAAATTAACATTATCAATAGGCCTGTAGGACATGGTTTCTTAGAAATACATACAATGGGAAAGTGACATTGATAAGGTCTGCCCAGAACTCCTTTTTCCCGCTTCGAATATCTGCTGCATTAAGCGATGAATCGTATTTAAACTTGTAAAACCGAAAATAATAAAAATAATAGGCTACATATAAATTTAGATCTTACCTAAAAGAAAACACAATACTCCTCCATCACAAAGATGAGTTTGTTAATGCTGTTTATTTTATCCATCACCATCGAAGTAGTTCCCCTGGGAGTGAACACAACGATCCCAGCGCCGCTGCCAAGCCCGGAAACCTATGAAATGCTAAAGCAAGCTTTTGGGGAGTCCGCAATGGGTCGTGCACAAACTTTTGTGTGGCATTCACGTTTTAAAAATGGCCGAACCTCTGTCGATGATGACGAGCGTTCTGGACGACCATCTTCGAGCACAACGCCCGAAAATGTTACGAAGATTCGGCAGGCCATTCACGAAGATCGACGTCGTACCATCAACGACTTGTGCGACATTGTTGGGATAGGCTATGGGACCTGTCAGCTGATTCTAAAGGACGGAAGCGGCCGTCAAAGTGGCACAACCACAACTGGCTGCTGCATCATGACAACGCGCCAGCGCACACCGCCCCCAAAGTTCGGCAGTTTTTGGCCTCAAACACCATGGCCGTCATCCCGCACCCTCCTTAGCTCCGTGTGACTTCTTCCTCTTCCCAAAGATGAAAATTCAGCTAAAGGGAGGGAGATTTGAGACGATAGAAGATATTCAGGCAGAATCGCAGATGGTGCTTGACAGGCTGACAAAGAAAGATTTCCAGGGATGCTTCCAGGATTGGCAGCGGCGTTGGGATCGTTGTGTTCACTCCCAGGGGAACTACTTCGAGGGGGATGGATGAATTTAATACCTGAGATAAGTGTACGGCTTTTTATACGATCGCACCTCGTAATCGTCCATAAATAGGCATACACTGTGAAAAAATGCACAGTTATAGAAGGTACTGGAATTATTTCCTGGGCGTAAAGCTAACCACTCACTTCCATCCAGTACCAAGGTTAAGAATTCATGGATTTATACCTCCGCTTTTCCATACGTGTCCATGACTTGGAGATTAGTTACGCACAGAGCAACTTTACCTTTTACCGTCATAAGACGCATAAGCGAGGTGGCGTTAGACTTCGGTTAAATTAAATCCATGTAATATCACTCTCTCGTCATACACACTGTGCAAGCAAACAACACAACACAACATTCTGTCGTTTCTGCGACTGGGTTTAGTTTTTATGAAGAAATACTTTACGAATAGGGATTTGGAATAATGTTCATTAAATGACAATCGATACTTTCCTTTCTGGCCGTACGATCTACTCTTTCCATAGCTGCAAGAACGACGCTAATTGGCCTCATTATAAGTACTTCATTAGACATTTCGTTGATGTGGCAATGTCGTGACACGTAGGACTGTTACATATTTCGATGTCAGCGTGCACTGCCGTAGTTACAGCTACTAACATAAAACATAAAGTTCGGAATAATTTATAAAGCCTATTTTTCGTGATATGGTGCAATGGTTTTGGTGAGATCTTACGAGCTCTATATTTTGTATAATATACCGCTGCATATTTGTGTACAATGGGTTGTTTGTGATAAAATCGGCAAAAATTTTATTTAAGCTACGTTTATATTTGAGTGATTGGTCATAAATCAACATTTAATTCGTTCGACAGCATTTAGTGCTGAAAATCAATACTAAATTTCAACGACATCCAGTCTTCAGGTATGAAACATGCGGACGGACATAGCAGAAACTATTTTCCTATTACACATATATTTCATGCGCTAATGCAAATAACTCACAGTAAAATTTGCGTGAGATCAGTTTCACAACGTTTAGTAACACTATGAAACCAAATGGTAACTATGTGTACCAGCTACTTTAACAGTAATAACTCTGAATTTTATATTTACGCCTATGGGTCTTGTATGATCAAGGTGCATTAGTCTGTAGATCTTCGTAATGTTTAAGTCTTATGTTTTCTTTGTCGTACAGACTGAATCGTTAAATATTATTTAGGCAAGCTTTGGCTTGAAATGGTTAAATTTATCTATTCAGAATGTAACAAAAATTTATACATTTATTATTATTATTATTATTATTGGCTACGATGAATTAGAATAAATTCACTGGTGACAGGATATAAATCCAAAATTTACTACCTAAGTATGATTACTGGTTTAGGACCAATATTACAGATCATCTGTAATTTAGCAAAAGTAAGACTTCAGCCTTAAGTCCCTCTCTAAACCATACAATAATACATGCATTATTTCTTTTTGAAAAGCCAATAAAATTAATTTGCGACTACTTTCCAAAAATTGTTCTTCGTTTTTTGTACTTCTAACACTTACCCCAAATTGTCTGTTCCTGAACCCTCTCGATTTCTTTGGTCTCCACCTTTCCTTTAGGCATCTGTTCTTCCTGTTTCCGCTTTTTTATTTTATTTGTCTTCACTCTGAATTTGTGTTGCAGCTGTTTCTTTTGGTACCCTTCATTTTATCTGATAATATTGAAACATCAATTTTTATATGTCTGATTGTCGACCTTGTCTTGTAATGCTCAGAAAAGGTTTAAAAATGTAATTTGTGATGCTTCACTCCGTTTTCTGAAATGTATAAACCTCACTACTCACACAGTTCCTTAACCGGCAATGACATAACAACCCTCTATTGGACACTTCTAGGTCTGTTCCTATGAAAATCAGTTATAACAGAGTACAAATGGAGCAATTAATTATCCTAACTACATATATTACTTTGGAACAATATTACAACTTATGAAAATATTATTACAATTCGGAATTCTAAACAGTTACATTGCAGATAAAAATTCAGCATTGTTTTAGCAATTATCCTTTGAATAATTATATTTCAACGTGTGTAAAGTCAGGACTTTCCTTTACTACTACCACTTGAGACTTAGTTAAAATTTATTTCTTTAAATTAATAAACTATGTATCGTGTGTATCGAACACGAATTTACCCATCCATTCCTTCTAAAGCAGCAGTCTTCTGCATGATAAATTCAAATTAATTAATAATCCGTGCTTAGTAACTGTCAACACTTACATTGCCTTCATTTACAATTATTGACCTGAAATTGGAGGTGACTGTTCATAAACACGTTTTTCTTTTCAGTGAACAGTAAATTATAAATTAACACATGTATAATAGTAGTGTGTATGAATTAGTTTATAGTCTAATATATAACAATTAATTCTCACCTTCCCGCATCGTTTGACTGTCATGTTCAGTGGTCCGCCACTGCGGAACTCTTATGAAGGAGGTGCAGTGAAATGTAACACTTGTTGAACACAAAACTATTTCAGGATTATTCATATTCTTCTTCGTGGGCGTCGACGATGGGACGTCGGCGCTTGCGTCGGAACAGCCAACACTCGACAATCAAGGCGAGTCCGCATAGAAAGCCGTCCGTTCCCTCTTGGTTGAGGATAGGAACAATTTCGTTCACCCCGACCTTAACCAAATTCGTCACGTAATTTTGAGAACGAAGTTGTCTGTAGGGGTGAGTTTCTCTTCAGAATTCCAGTATTACGGCAATGCATTGATTCTGGTAGAAGCTTAAAGAGTACAATTCTAAAATTCCTTGACAAACGTCAAAAAATGTTGCTGAGCCGCATGAAAACTATCGTTTCCCCAAATTTATTCATAGTGTGCTTTCGGCTTCGCAACAAGTTCGTCTGATTAATCAGAATCGTTGATGAACATTACCCTAACAAAATAATTGGCCGTTGTGTCCAAATTCCATGACCTTCGAGGTTGTCGTTTCTGCTGCAGTACATTTAGAGGTTTACATGAAAGGTATCCTCTTGTACTCGCCCTAAAGATGGCGACTGAAGTGTTTGCCAATACATTACATAACTTTCATAATTCATTCCCGAAATCCGAAGTTGTGTTCTGTTACTGCTCAATCCTCGAGTTGTTGATGCTGATGGTGGCCATTTAGAAAACACGAAGATGTGTTAGCCTCTCATTAAGACAAGAGTTCATAACTAGGTTCTTACGAAAGCTATACATTCTTCTTCTTTTTCCGGTTTAACAATGTTTTCTACATTTTCCGATACCTTTTACGGGCCCCCAACTTTTTAGTTGGCTTGATCTATGAACATTTGGTAGGACTCCTTGGACGAGGGATCGGCCCGTCGCAAGGCCTCTACCTATTTACAGGACAGCACAACACAGAAAGACATCCATGGCTTGAATGGGATTCGAACCCACGGTCCCCGCGACCAAGCGGCACAAGACCCACGCCTCAGACCGCACGGCCACTGCGGACCCTCGAAAGTTAAATATTTTGTTCAAATTTTACCAGGAGATAGATGCACGTGGAAATAATGATGCTGTAAGCCCGGCTTACAAAATTAGGAAGGTGTTTCTAAAATTACGTAACATGAATTCATAAAGAATTTCGACAAAATAGGTTAATGTTTTGAAATGATGATGGTGAAGGACAACCTCTCTGACATACATTTCAACATACTGATATAGCAAGTAAGTTTGGTTTTGATTGTGAGATAGAAATATGACTCATTACTATCAGTTCAACTCTTAATGGTGGAAACATACGTGAAATGTGTACATTTCTGGACAACATTACGAGTTTGATTAATGTCTAGAGACACGTTTAACAGTAAAATATTCAAGAACTTTGGCTTTCAGAGCTGATATAAATCCTGTAAAAACATCAAATGTACTTGACAAGCAAACGAAACTAAGAGAGGTTTGTGGTTTTATCAAGTGAACAATTTATTTTATATGTCACATATAGCGTGTCAGTAGGTTATACGTATTTTCTCTGAACTTTTGTTATCAGTAAAGTAACATAAGCCTATGTTCCAGTTGTTATTGACTCTTTCCATACAGCGTATGAAAAAAAATGAAGTGCCTTCTCCCTATTTGCTGACCCTCTTTAATGTCTACGGGAAAAGGGTATGACCGTACCCGTAAAACATGTGGAAGTACGCTTTATTTATTTTTAACCATCCCGTCCTTATCTTACAGTGCAACAAAGACACGCGGTCTCATCACGCACAGTTGTGGTTTAATGTAACACTAAACCCAGGGAAATCTTTTATTTATTCTTTCCAGACAAAATATATGGACAACCAGACTATAAATATAGATTTCTCCCATCTAATTTGACGTTTTTATCTAATTTTTAATTGAATTTCATATCAGTTTATACAAATTTCCTAGAAGCAACATTATAAAATTCTCGTACTTTGTCTCAGGGTATCTGAGCAGCCAAAGGGAATAAATGTCTGCGAGAGGAACGCCAACTTTAAAGAAGTGTAGCGTAGTCTGTGCGTCGTACAGGTTTCACTCGATAAATGATATTCCTTAAATCTACTGAAGTATAAATACTATCCCAGCCCATAACACTCCTTGGGAATAAGTGTGGACTCCAGCAGAGGTATCATTAGAAACTGATAATTGTTCATATGATGAAAATCCTCCGAATTTTAGGGGTATATAAGTAAGTCACAATGTTCATAAGATTACACTATTTTACCTTGTTCTAAGCCAGTTCAGTCTAATTCACATGCGCACATTCCATTTTAATATTATCCTTTCACATGTCAAGTTCTCCCAAGAGGTTTCCCTTCCTTCAGTTTTCAAAACAAAATTTCGTGTGCGTATTACTGAGATATTTTAACGTTAACAGTACATTATTATATCTATTTTTCATTGATAATACCAACTTTATATAGACGAGCACTTCTGGGGCATTGCGTGAGAACGGAACGTCGACAGAAGACGATATTACTTTCAGTCGATACTGATACTGTAGAGCAAAGTACTTTACAGTAAGCGTGTCAGCTGTCGAGAAAGCATTCTCCTTTTACGAGTACTTTAAATAATTGATGATGATGACGTACACTACATTTGATGGGGATTGATTAGGTTCTAGTGGCCGTAAGGACGGCTATAGTCTGACGCACTTAAAGTAATCATCCATACATTTTTTATTGCCTAACAATTTAAAAGTCATTAGTAAGCTACGTCTTAGCATAGGCCTTATTCAATGCTTTTGCTCTTACCCAAGCACACTATATTATTGATTATTTTCCTAATGATATTTGGTATAAATATGCTAATCTAATGATGAAAACGAATGGCTTATGCTTAATATTGGATGTCCCAAAATAACGAACGTCATCAGAGCCATCGAAGTTTAATTCCTACTTTGAGATGTCAGATACAAATTTCCTAGAAGCAACATTATAAAATTCTCGTACTTTGTCTCAGGGTATCTGAGCAGCCAAAGGGAATAAATGTCTGCGAGAGGAACGCCAACTTTAAAGAAGTGTAGCGTAGTCTGTGCGTCGTACAGGTTTCACTCGATAAATGATATTCCTTAAATCTACTGAAGTATAAATACTATCCCAGCCCATAACACTCCTTGGGAATAAGTGTGGACTCCAGCAGAGGTATCATTAGAAACTGATAATTGTTCATATGATGAAAATCCTCCGAATTTTAGGGGTATATAAGTAAGTCACAATGTTCATAAGATTACACTATTTTACCTTGTTCTAAGCCAGTTCAGTCTAATTCACATGCGCACATTCCATTTTAATATTATCCTTTCACATGTCAAGTTCTCCCAAGAGGTTTCCCTTCCTTCAGTTTTCAAAACAAAATTTCGTGTGCGTATTACTGAGATATTTTAACGTTAACAGTACATTATTATATCTATTTTTCATTGATAATACCAACTTTATATAGACGAGCACTTCTGGGGCATTGCGTGAGAACGGAACGTCGACAGAAGACGATATTACTTTCAGTCGATACTGATACTGTAGAGCAAAGTACTTTACAGTAAGCGTGTCAGCTGTCGAGAAAGCATTCTCCTTTTACGAGTACTTTAAATAATTGATGATGATGACGTACACTACATTTGATGGGGATTGATTAGGTTCTAGTGGCCGTAAGGACGGCTATAGTCTGACGCACTTAAAGTAATCATCCATACATTTTTTATTGCCTAACAATTTAAAAGTCATTAGTAAGCTACGTCTTAGCATAGGCCTTATTCAATGCTTTTGCTCTTACCCAAGCACACTATATTATTGATTATTTTCCTAATGATATTTGGTATAAATATGCTAATCTAATGATGAAAACGAATGGCTTATGCTTAATATTGGATGTCCCAAAATAACGAACGTCATCAGAGCCATCGAAGTTTAATTCCTACTTTGAGATGTCAGTAATTTTAATATTTGAGGTTTTCACAGAGATGAGTATGAAGATTTCTGTCTTCTGGGTTGTTGTGCTGTGTAGTCTGGTCGATGTTAACCAACGTTTCAGAGGTCATACTGCCTCCGGCATCAGGGCGATGAAGATTTCTGTCTTCTGGGTTGTTGCGCTGTGTAGTCTAGTCGATGTCAACCAACGTTTCAGAGGTCATACTGCCTCCGTCATCAGGGCGATGAGTATGAAGATTTCTGTCTTCTGGGGTGTTGCCCTGTGTAGTCTGGTCAATGTTTACCAACGTTTCAGAGGTCATACTGCCTCCGTCATCAGGGCGATGAGTATGAAGATTTCTGTCTTCTGGGGTGTTGCCCTGTGTAGTCTGGTCAATGTTTACCAACGTTTCAGAGGTCATACTGCCTCCGTCATCAGGGCGATGAGTATGAAGATTTCTGTCTTCTGGGGTGTTGCCCTGTGTAGTCTGGTCAATGTTTACCAACGTTTCAGAGGTCATACTGCCTCCGTCATCAGGGCGATGAGAATGAAGATTTCTGTCTTCTGGGTTGTTGCGCTGTGTAGTCTGGTCGATGTCCACCAACGTTTCAGAGGTCATACTGTCTCCGTCATCAGGGCGATGAATGTGCCAATTGGCAACCCAGAAGACAGAAATCTTCATGTCAATAATTCTGAGACATGTAAACCGAGTCATCTTTGTCGTTTAGTGTTCATAGTTTCTATAAAATGCTTTGGCAGACTACTGCAGGACATTTAAATGTGTATTTATTATTATATTAAAAAGATGAAATTTCTTCCTTTTTCGACACTCACTATTCCCTGACTACTCTTTTTATTTCACAAAAGAACTGTTGGTTGTATCACGGAGTGAGCAAGTTGTTACTTGTGTGGTGTTGAGGGTTTTAGAGAAATTACTTAATACTTACCTTCATAAAAAATTCTTTGAAACTTTTCTACCCGTGATTGGTCTCTAACCCTTTAGAGTTTAGCGATAACTTCTTACTTTTATTTCACTCACAGAATATATTTATTTATTTATTTCATTTGGTTCTCAGAATACAGATTGCACGTCTTTTTATGAAGATTGTTAAAATACGTTTGCAATAGTAATGTGGTGGTGCTGCTTTTTAAAAGTTTTAAATGAATTTTCCTTTATGAGTTGGTCTGTTTTACCATACACTCTAAGAAAAATATTACCATTGTACGCCTATTAGCATTCAAGAGTGTCTGTTTTTAATTACAAACTTTTATTCGAAATAGACTTTATCGTACATAATGCTAACAAAACACAACAATTTATTATTTATTTAGTTTCTACAACAATTAATGTTCGGAGACATCGCCTGTATGAACGTATCCTCTGTTCTTCTTTATTAATTTCTCAGTTTATTTACGACGTTTTCTGAGCTTCATAGTTTACACAGCGTTGCATGAGAGGATTATTGTAAATTATGAATTCGGACGGATGCGGAACTAAGAAATCGTGGCCT